GTATCTGCATTTCTCCGACGGACCCGTGGCGAAACCCTGGAATAAGACTCCGGCGGCAGTGATGGAGAAGGAACAACCGGATTGTGATATTGATACTGAGACGGGTGCGCTGGACTGCCGGGCTCGTGACCTCTGGTTGGGATTCCACAAGAATTTTGCGGAGAGACGAGAGGTATGATATCCCTCCCTAGGGCTTTGATAAGGGTCGGAATGGGCTAATCGATTGGCGATAGATGATCTGCGGAGCGGAATTCGTGCCCCAGCTTGACGGAGAAGCTGAAGGAGTATGGATCGCATCGCAGAAACATAATCTATCTCTTCCAGGGACGCGGAAACTGATAGACCAGGCTATCGAGGGTCCTCGTCACGCTATGCTATGGATCCACAATCGCATCCGGCGTCGTGAGTAGTGATTCAAATCGAAGAAAATGCTGGTCCTGGTCGATACGCAGTTTCGCATGCTTCAAAATCAAGGAGACGAACAGGACTGCGCTTTTGGGAGCGTACCTCAACACGAGCCGGTTAATGGCATCCTCAAAAGTACATTTGATCCACCCCTGTCTAGCCGTTTTACAAAATCTGAACCGAATGGATTTTTTGCCTACTAGCATAGCCAGCCAGCCAGTGGCTGGAAGAATCGCACTGGAGAATTGCACTGCCCCTTGTCTTCTACCTCTGCCACTCGTTACATCCGCCGACCGTCAGGTTGACAAGAATCGTAGCTTTTGAGCCACGATCTATGTTCCATATGTAGCCTTTGGTACAATGTTGTCATCAGAAAAGCCAATCACCTGTCAATCCGAATTGCATTCCTACAAGATGAGTTCCCACTGGGCAAGCTATTGGCCCAGCCACATTACGGTCCACAATCTCTACCATCGTGTTTGGATCACACTGTACGGGTTGAATGAAGCTCAATCCAGGTACTAGAAAAAGAATCTTGTGTGATAATGCCTCAATTGCTCCAAGCTGGGAACAAATCTAAGCTTTAGCCTATTTCGCGCGCCCCCTCTCAGCGCCCAGCTCACGCACCCATCACACTTTGCCCCTTGTGCTGCTCAGGCAACTCCCTACAAGTGAATATGGCGGATGGGCTCGTTTGCTCTCACATTATACTGCAGTGTTACATTGGCGTCTTTGTAAGACGTCCGGAGCCATACTCGTCTCAAGCAACAAAAAGTACTGTAGTGGTGGTAAGAACCGGGGCTGGTTTCTAGGGGACAGAAATTATACCGGATTGCCAATGCCGACCGCCCAAGTTGTCCTCGATGCTACTGTTTTGTGTAGTCCAGTCGTTGGGAAGGTAGCATGTGAAGGATAAAAGACAGGCTGGAATAGTGTGCCATATGCCACACATATAGAGGCTTTGTATCTTCAGAATGATTGGCTAAGATAGCACTCGCAACTACCCACTTATTTGGGTGGAATGATCCATTTTTAGGATAAGCTTCTGCGTCAGAGACTCGTGTGGTTGTGTACTGTTTGAGCCTGATCATAAAAGCTCAACCTATGATCGGCATGAGAGTTGAGCTTCGGAAGTGTGTATCGCGTCCATGGGCAATACTTTAATCGAAGAGGAGTCTAGATCAACCCAAGATTTGGGGAGCGGGGCAAAGCGTATGAGTAACAAGAACATTCAAAGAAAGTGATACGAAGCTACATCCTGTGCATAAATGGTGCGACTATGAAGAATGCCTCTACTGGCTACCCTAGAACGTCAGCAATGCATAAATCTATTCAGGAAATCATATTAGGATGGCTGTGCAACGGCTATACGAGCTGCGGGGAGCTGTATAAGCTTTTCGGAACAAGCATTACGGTAACAAGCTCTCGTATCAAGAGATTTAAGCTCTGGCTACTGGCGGTCTGGCCCGTATTTAGCTCGTATTACCACACTTGCTACGAAAGGTTACCAACGGTACAGAGATCTCCCTTCCGACTGCCGCCCCTCTATCACCTTCTGCATATCTTCCGAAGCGGTTATTTAAGTAGCCCCGCCGGGACGCTGAAACCAGGATTGCCTAGAATATTATTGGTCTCACTCTTACAACCATTACAATACTATAAATCCTTTCTCTGACAGCAATTTATCCCAGCATCTAAAGCAACATGCCCGTTCCTCACTACGGTGTCTGGGTTTGTAAGCCGACTCGGTATGTTGCCCAGCGACATGGCGTACGCACCCCACACATCGAGCTTTATTTCAAAGATGACGACTCCGGGAGGGAGCGAAAGGCCGCCATCAACGTGAAATCGAACGGAGAAGAGTCTCGCTTGGTGTTTTGGTCTTCTGATGACTTTGCTCATCCTATCACCGTTCAACTTGCCCAGCTGGACCTAGGCTTTCGTTCGATTCCGGATCCTCGAGGTCGTGCTCGAGATCTTGTGGGACTAGACTATCTGCGACTGCACAACCTTCTGAATCTCGACTCTGGACGAGTTCTGCCGCATGATATACCTGGCCGTGACAATGATATTCTGGACGTCGTCCAGCCGATTCTAGATCGAGCAATCAGGAGCTCAGCAACGGTGTTTATCTATGGTTCGTCCTTTGGATCCGGAATTCATGATGTCCATATGAACCAAGGCAGTCTTCCTCGGTACGACAACGGCGTCTACCAGGACGGGGGCTTGCTAATTCAGTTTGCCGATGGGCATTGGGAAGCAGTCTTCCTGGCGTTTGCCTCCCAAAGGATTCCCACCGACGATGTGGACGGGCTGCCGGAGCGACAGAGTCGAAGTCTGTTGCAAATCCTGGCTCCGCGAGAACACAATCTCTAAAGAAGTCGATTTAAAGCATGGTGGTAGTTAAAGCATGGTGGTAGTCAATCAAAAGTTTTTTTGTTTCTTCAATCCTTGATCCGTAGAAATTTACAATGCCGTTCTAATGCAATCATCATCTGTGGGAAGTCCTAGCTTTAGACGCAGACGGTCTTCACTAAAGTAATGTCGCTGGGACGCTCTCAGATGGTCACTTGAAGTTACTTTCATCAGCTTGGGAAGCTATAATGTACAAGATTACTGTCAAACAAAATTCACCTTTCTCAAGGGGCATACTGTTCACCACCGATACTTGAGTATGCATGTACAAACTGAACAAGTGCTAAGATTTCGAGATGATCAGACTCTATGCCCATATTCCGGGTAGACTGCTTCCCCACATCTGCATTACCACTGTCAAGTCTGGAACAGGATTTCCTAGTTCACACCCGCCAGTTGATACCGAAAGAAACGAATTCCGGATGATCCCTGGTAATGCGATCCTCAGACGACGGGGCAGAACAGTCGTCGTCATCAATTACAGCCCGCGAAAGTCCAACGATGGAACTACATATTGTCTCTCATCAGTAGATATCAGTAGATAGACAACAACAGTTGAGCATCAGCTGGGTCCTGGAGGACGTACACCGATTGCTGAGTATAGTCATAGGAGATTTGCTCCGTCTCCGGCATGTACCATCCCCAACCTCGGAGTCGCATGTACCTATTTATTCCCAAAAACAAGATTCTCAACCACACAGCGATATAGAAGCCGTCAAGCTTTGACTACGAGAAAACTTAGACCAAGGCCCTGATCATCTTTTCTTAAATAAATCACCTTGTCGGAGTAACCCGGATTGGAAAGATCATCAAGACCTGTGCCGTACGCCAGCCCTAGCAGACACGCCCATGCCGGAAGAACGAATTCTTACCAGCACGATTCGAAGCAAGATTGAAGAGCGATACAGAGTGCTTAGGCTAAGAATGAAAGAATAAGTTGGGTCAACTTGTCAGATAGAAGAGGGAAAGGTCTACGGGTGTGGGGACAATACTACCATGGATGTTGTCTGCTTTCATTCTTCCTGCAAGTCCGATCTTCCCGAAACATGGATAGGCACAATAAAATGCAAATGGGCCGTATTACCTTCTTTACAGATATAATAAGCACATACGACCACAGGGTGTGGAAAACAGGGCTTCCCGTCCGCTCAGCCATACTTAAGCCACACGCCGGGAGGTTAGTAGTTGGGTGGGTGACCACCAGCGAATCCCTTCTGTTGTATGTTTTTATTTTTGTCCGCCATCGACAAGTTTAGCGTATGCAGCTCTTACCCAGTGTAAGTGTGGTCAACCTTCTTCTACATCGATGATAAAACAGGCCGACCGCGCTGGGCCACTTGACTGCCATGCGCAGTGCTCCTCTACTCAGACATGGCGACAAATTGAGAGATTTCAGTTACCTAGTAGATGTCTTATCAGGAGCGACCCGGGTCACCTTGTTCGGCTGAAATGGCGAATATATCCATTCTTCTACAGTAGATGCGCCCCGTCTGAGCACGAATTGCATTTTTCTACTAGGGAAGATAAAGGGTTGTGAGCAACTTCCATCGTGCCAGTTGCTTAACTTCTCTCTCGTGTGATCTGGAGATATGTCTCACTTTGTGACTACCCTAGCTCGCGGCGTCTATCTATATCAGCCCGCGAAGGGAAGCCGATCTGCGCCAAAGTGGAGGTTCTTCGGCTTTCATGCCATTGACAAAGCAGGGTCCAGAGCCGACCGTAGCATGTTGGCGGCCGGGGCATATTGGACAGCAGGCCAGAAGATATAGGGGTAGCAACAAAGCCACGTAGCACTTGTCCAAGTGATAGCCATGGGTGTATGCGGGGTTGGGAATGTCACGTCACGTGGTTTCTTTCAACAACCAAGGGGAAATTGTAGCGAGGCCTCCGAAGGGGTGCGCATGCTTCGGACCCACTTTGAGTAGTTGAAGGGCAACATAGTCAAATCTGGAGCCACGAGATTGACAAGCATGCTGAATCATCCAGGGGCGACACAAATTTGATGAACAATAAGCTTGTTTTTCACTCTGATTTCTCTATCTTTACAGCAGGGATGCAAGAAGTAAATAGAAAATCAGTCGAATTATGCCGGGTGTATCGTAGCATATATAGTCGATAGTCACCACCTTCCACAACGCCCTATGTTATCATATCTAGTACTCTAGCGACCTTGAAGAAGATTACCCTAGGTGGATCTCGCCTTCGCACTGGGCAGCATGCATGAAGTTCGCTTTCAACGGAGTCACACTATAAGCAATTAGTCTGCGCGCTGGGAACGTGAAGAAAGCGAGACACAAGATGCAACTCTCGATGGATGAGAATCGAATACATGACACGTACCTGGTCTTTCCTTCACGTACTGCCCAGTCATCATCTGCATCCGAGGTGCGGTCCATACTTCCGTGGATATCTGATAGGTCTGGCGCCCATCGCAGTAGCAGCGGCGAATCCGCGTTCTGCGTAGTCGTATCTCCCGACAGCGGAAGGACTTGAAACGGACTGGCTGCCAGCCAACGGTTCGGTCGGATCCGAGTATACACGACCTTCCTGTCTCCGCTGGGAACAGATCGCAGCGGTATGTTCACGGAGTAGAGTTCTACGCCGTCGTCCCAGCTGTGGTAGAAATGCTCAATCAGCGTACGGCATGTCTAGATGCATCTGTAATCTGCTCTTGATTGCAAGTATCGTCTTCGGTAGCTGGCTCAAAGGATAGAGCAATAGACCTCTTTCCACACAGGACGGCCTCCATGGCCCCGCCGATTGTGCCACTGGAGAGGGAGAACAGAGCTGTTGCGTTCGCTCCGAGGTTGGGGCCTGATACCACCAGGTCGATCGGGATAGGCTTGCCCTCCTGCTGGTAAGGGTGATAGTGATGCAGCCCGATCTGCACACAACCAGCGGGGGTCGAATTGACGAGCATCCATGGACGTTGATTTTGCACCCCAATGCTGCTGCTGTTGTTGGTACCTTCGGATAGTCCCGGAGGGTTTTGGTGCTCGGTGCCTTCGAACTGGAACAGTTCGCCAGGGGAGAAATACGTCGCCTTGACCACCTCCCCGACGAAGTGGGCTTTTCCGATCCAGGAACGTTGCTGGTTTGGCAAGACCACAGTCACGATGTGTCCTTGGGATTGGAGTTCGTGAACCAGGGAATGCACGTACGGGGATGTATCCCGCGAAGGGGGCCCGTCGTCGTTGACAACCTGAAAAGATTAGCAACTCGAATTGATTCCTCCTGCCCGAAGGTAGATCGTGCGTACTAGAATATGCATTGGGTGGGAATTTGTGTGGTTCAGAGCAAGCCTTGAATAAGAGTGTGCACCAAGGAGTGGCGCAAGGAGTCTGCTGACTACAATCAATAGATAAAGGCAAGGAGAAAGGAGAATAGCTCTGAAATACGGGAAATCCACCAATATCTTCCATCGCGTACGGAGGATGTTGTAGTGTTTTCCGCACCGGGCACTGCTTGTCTGCTGTGGGGTAGGTATTACGGCATATGATTCTGAGGGGGGGAAATGTTCCCGAGAATCGGGGAGGCCCCGAGGGAATTCTTTCCGAGACCGGACAGTGTTTCTAAAGGTTTTTTATGGGATGGCCGTCTGTGTTAATGGGAGTAAACTCGTGAAAGAGAGCACCAAGTGTTTTGACAGAAATTACTCTTGTCTTGTTAGGCTCATTTTTTAACTTTCAAGCCACGTCTGCGACGCTCTGACCACGGATGGCTATATACATCCCGTTTTCAATTCCAGCAATCAATCCACAAACTCCCCAGCTTAGAACAGCTTCTTCACCGACCGCAAATACACCAAGAGATAGACGACGGAGTAATTGAAGACCACATAAGCCAGAAAAATGCCAAAATACGGCCAAATATCCGACGAGTCTAGCCCGAGGTTCGCGAGATACTGTTATCTTGCTGTTAGCACAACCACCCACAGATTTGTTACGGTTGGGATCTCACCTCATCGCCAGAATTATAATCGCAGTACCCACAGATCCCCGACTCCTCCGGATTCGACAAATACCCGACGCCCCTCTCAGCGAGCCACGGGCCCGCGTACTCGCCGCAGGTCATGTTCGCCGGACTGCGGAAGTAGCTCAGCTCATCCTTTTCGCAGACGACCGGCATCCCGCGCAGAACGGAGGTCAGGACGCCTCCAATCCAATAGGTGAACGGGGTGAGGTAGTACATGGTGTACTTCCAGAAGACCGGCATCTTGTCGTGCGGCTGGATGATGCCGTTGAATAACTCGCACATGGTGATGAAGAAGGGCATCAGGGTAGCTGCGATGGTTGCGTCGGCGCTATATTCACTGTTATTAAAGCTCATCGAGCCGCATGGCGGACGGCAAACTCACCTCAGCGCGGCAATCCACTGTCCCCACGAGGTGGCAAACAGGAAGAACAGGAAGAACATCAAGAAACTGTATCCGGCGGCAAAGCCGTCCGGCAGCCCAGCGGTGAAGTAACAGATTAGATAGAACATCACGCCCGAGCCGATGGCCAGCGGCATCTCGCAGAGGATCTGCGCCGTGCTGAACGCCACCCAGCCGTACATGCCCGCGGGTCCCTCGCGGGCAAGCCAGATGTCGCGATTCATGACGAAGCGCATTGAGATGGCATTGATGAATTCGGGGACGAGCATCAGGCACAAAAAGCAAAGGAATGCTTTGGACTCCAGGTCGGTGGAGCTGTTGCCCAGCTGGTAGAAGGTTAGGCCGTCGAGGAGGGCGTGCGCGAAGGAGGCGTATAGACGCGAATATGGGTACTCGGGGCTGCGCCAGTACTGCCGGAGGGTTCGACCGGTCAGGAGCCTGACTTGGCGGTAGAATGACGGGGAGGTGGGCTTGTCGATGGTGGGTGAAACCGCTGCAACTGTGCCTTGCTCTCGGATGGTCTGGATCTCAGCCTTGACTGCCGCCGCTTCGGTAGAATGGTTCCACACGTCGACCCAATCGACGCTCTTTTCAGCTTCCTTCATACCACCGACGACAATCTCGATGAGATAGTCTGCTGCGTTGGTCACGTTCTCGGGCCGGTAGCCGTGTCGGCCAAAGTATTCGAAGATTGCACGGCCTGAGTCTCCTACTTCGCCGAAATAGTAGGCGTTACCACCGGGACTTAGGGCTAGGACGCGGTCAAACTGGTCTCGTTAGTACCTTTTCATCTTGTCGGTTCAGCGAGAGAAACTCTACCTCTTCAAACTGTTCCTGATTAGCTTGATGGATAGTGCAAAGCACAGCCAAGCCTTGGTCGGCCAGCTTCCTGAGCAGGGCCACAATACTTGAAGCACCCTGACTGTCAAGACCACTGGTCGGTTCGTCCAGGAACAACACCAATTCGGGTTTCGCGCAGAGCTCCACGCCAATGGTGACACGCTTCTTCTTCTCAATGTCCAGACAACTGATCACAGCATCTTGCAATTCCATCAAGTCCAGCGTGGCCAGAACAACGTTGACATAGGCCAGTTTCTCTGCATCGGGGGTATGCCGATTCTGTCTCAGCAGAGCGGAGAACTCGAATGCTTCGCGGATGGTGCTCGTTTCGTCGTGGATGTCCATTTGCTGGCAATACCCGATGCGACGGTTGTAGGATTCGTCGGTCGGATGCCCATCGACAAACATCGTGCCGCTCAGATGGCCTGAGCTTTGGCGTTGAGTGAGGGCCGTCAACAGTGTGGACTTTCCTGCGCCAGATGCGCCGACCAAGGCCGTGAGGCTGCCTGGTTTACAGTACCCAGACACCTTATTCAGCAGCCTCCTCGACTCCCTGCCTATCTCCACGTGAAGCTCAAGGTTCTCCCATGTGAACGTCGACTTGCATGCCAGAACGGCCTGCTCCAGAGCGTGGTCTGGATGAGGAGATTGGCGAGCAGCGGGCATGCCCTTGGAGTCTCGCACACCACCAACTTCCTCATCCTGAGTTGTCTGAGCTTTCCTCGATTTCTTCTGGGATCCCTTGTATTGAATTGGTCCTGCACTAGAGGATTCCCATTCAACGGCCTCACTGACCCAACACGTTGCAGCGATGTAGAACACGGTGAAAAGGCACAGGATGCCGAAGTTACGCCACACGTGGTGGTAGTAGAAGCCGAAGTGAGAGGCCATGTAATCGTCCCCGGTGATGATCGTGGTCCCGATCCGGCTTCCGTAGTACGCGCATGTCTGGTAGGTGACATCGGTGTAGCTGGGTCCAGAGGGAACAATTGATCCGGGAGAACAGGTGAAATCTGTGCTATGGAACTCGGCCGCCATCATCGATTCGAAGGTGTAGATGACCGGCGTTGTGTACTGTGGGACATGTCAGTACGTCTCAAGCAGCCAGTGCAGGGCTACGTACCGCTATCCACCCCACCCAGGGAACATTATTGATAAGTCTGTCCAGCGAAATGACATAACCTCCAAGAACAATACATGCCAGGACGGAAAGACCAGCGTAGCGCAACGCAACCTCAAATGTCTTCGAAAACGCAGCGAACAGTCTGAACTGCTGTGTCAAGCAGATCGCGCAGAGGAAGATAAAAAGAAAGTCTATGAAGAATGATCCAGCCTGGTAGAGTCAGTGTCGGTAGGTATGGTGGAAAATGATCATGCTTACGTTGGTCTTCAAGCCTGAAAGAAAGTAAACCACGACCTGAAATAATGCACTGATGGTGACAAGAAGCACGACATCGGAGAACAACCGCGCCAGACACACGGCGCTAGGCCGGACAAACGCAAACTTCTTCTGACGGCTGAGAATGTCTCGCCCCTGCATCGCGTCCTCCAACTCCGACATCTGCAACCATGCGAGCATCAGCGAGGAGTAAAAGATGACACCGCCGCGCGAGTACAGTCCATCGCTCGTTTGGGGCATATCATAAAATAGACTGCCGATGAGCAGCCCATAAACGACAGCCGACATCAGCTTGATGTAGATAGGCCCCATGTGGTTCCTGGTCTGCCATAACTGCCGTCGGCCACAGAGCACAATCTGCCGGAAGAGAGAAACGGTATAGGGTGACTTTGGCGACACGAAGCGCGATTTCTCGGTCTGCACGGCCTTCTTGAACTCTTCCAGACTTCCTGTATCTGAATCATCCGACGAAGTCTGTCCGCCTAGGCACTGATCCTCGTAGTTCCGAATATCTCTTTCCACGGCCTGGTAAGCGTTGCTCGCCCGGAACGCCTTCTCTAATTCCTCCGCTCCCTTTGGTGCACGGCTCTCCCAGCCCGGTTGGAATCGTCGTCGATCGGGAATGGACACACTTGTTAGAAAGTCGCAGGTGGTCTGCATTGGGGCGCACTCGTAACCAAGATCCTCGAAATAACGCTTTGCGTCGCGCGCAGGTCCTTGGTAGAGCATGCGGCCCTCGTCGACCAGCAGGACCTTATCCACCAGATCATAGATAGCATCAGAGGCCTGATACAGCGTCATCAAGGTGGCCTTGCCGCACGTGTCCGTCATGATGCGGAGACTACGCGCGTAGTCCAGCGCAGAAGATGCGTCTAGCCCTCTCGTCGAGTTGTCCCAGCAGCTGATCGCCGAATCCGTGGCCAGAGACTCTATGATCGAGATGCGTTTGCGCTCGCCGCCGGACACACCGCGAATAAACTCATTTCCGACCAGCGTGTCCATGGTGTGCGACATGGCAAAAACACGTCCGTAGATCTCCAGGTAGCGAGGGATCCGGTCCTGATATCGCTTGGGGGTCTTGCACTGCAGCGCGAACTCCAGCGTCTGGCGGACGTTGAGAGTGGGGAAGTGCACGTCGTCCTCTGGGCTGTAGGCGACTTGACCGCGGTAATGAGTCTGAACCTCCTCCAGACTCAGTCCGGAGTAGTCGATGGAGCCAGTAACCCCGAGATAGGAGGAGTGATCACCGGCGATAGTGCGCAGGAACGTCGAGCATCCTGCTCCGGGTCTCCCCAGCACACTGCAAATCAATTCGGTCAGCTCATTGGTCTGTGTTCCACCGGTTTAGACCCGAAAACATGACTCACAGCATCATCTCACTACTCCGCACCACGCCTGAGAAATCCCGAATCAACTGCCGTCCCCTCTCCGGCTTCTTCTTCGACGCCCACGGCTTGATGGTCCATTCATAGACATCCTGCAGGGTCAACGTCCGCCACAGCGCCGTCCCAAGAGTCTTGACCTTGACATGATCTTCCCCGTCTCCCCAGGTCGAAAGCGACTGGAAGCAAACCCCAAGGTTAGATCTCATCTTCCCAGCGCGCACCTCCTCGTCCAGAAACTTATCGAACGAGGAATGCGGCTCCGCATATTCCGGACGCGCATCCCTGCGGCTCTGCGCGGTCAAGGTGCGATGGATCTCCGTCAACTCCCCCTCATCCTCCTCCGACAGAAACACATGCGACAAGGGAGCTCCGTCATCATGAGCCCTCGCTCCCTCCGATGAGGCGGTGGCAGAGGACTGCAAGTGTGGTACGGGATGTGGAGGCATGATTCTTAGCCCAGGGCCATTGAGAAGCAACAACCAGAAACCGGGTCTGACTCCAAACACAACCACCGCAAGATATTGGACTCTATTTAAGGACAAATTGAGGGAGTGCAGCGCGGGATCCGCGGGGTAGTGGATGATTTACATACTCTCGGTCCCCGGAACCCCAAAACGGAAGCCAAGACACATTTGGTCTAGGCGTTTTGCCGGCGGCGATAGAATCATAATCTTATTAAGTAATAAATTGTGATTTGCAGCCCTAGCCGCAGCAAAAGCCTATTCTCCGACTGGCGCAGAGAAGCCCGCGGAATGACCTGGGGAATGGTAGCCATACTTGCAGTCTGAGTTTTCAGCCCGTTCAGAGTCGTGATTGGTCTACAAGCGCTAAGCGGGGAGGAGCCTTAGCGAGGTTGACGCCCATCGAAGATGGGGTCAGCAAATTGCGGCGCTATTTTTACTAGATTAGGAAGCTCGGGGGAGAAAAAGCTTTTTGTGCCGGAGACCCACCGGCCCGTGCCTGGCTGTTTTCAACCGAGGGTGGGTGGTAGAAGACGAGGTTAATCACGAGAATGTGCTGCATGGTCTTGCATGCATATCGTATTGCGGGTATTTGCCGTCTTCGTGTTAGTCGAGGACTTGACATGTGTGCTCATTACCTAGGGCATCGATTGATCTCGTGATCAGCAGACTCCGATTTCCGCCTTGCCGCGCGACATCACTCGATACATTGCTCCTCATCGTTTGCAACCACAGCCAATTTTGATAATTGCCAGTGCTTTTGAGGCTACACGAATTGTTCCATTAAGAGTTCTTCGTGGGGAAGGAAAACAGACTGACATGGCGGGAAAATCGATGATCATGTCATCACGTGATTGAGAGATGCGAATGTCTACGGTATATCGCTCAAAGACGACTGTGCCCTGTATATAGCAATTGAGCTCATTGCTCAAGGACACTTTCAATCCCTGACTTCTTGCGGTGAGCTGCGAAAGATCTCCTTCACAACCGATATTGCCGTAGTTGATTTGATCAATCACGCACCTTCTAGTTACGAAGCCAAATTCCTCGACGGATCAGTCTCCCAAAATCGAGAGAGCAGGCCGAGAAGAGCGCTATGGAAGAGTGAAGACTAGCTAAGTTCAAAGAGTGCTAAACTACATCCCCAAGTTCCCCTTCTCAAGATTCTTTCGAAACAGGCATGCCTTTCGGAGCTCGCCACGAGTAATGACGTCCTCACGAAACAATGCTCATCATACAAGGTCTTTATGATCGAGAATGATGAAAACGTTCTTCATAGTTCAATTGTTGAATCCTGATTGATCTGTAATCCGCGATTTGTGTAATAAGGTCTCCTATATGCGATCACCATTGATGTCTAAACAATACCGACAGGAGACTTTGTGCATATACAAGATACATGCGCTGAATATAACAAAGATTTCAGCGAGAGTTCTCGGCATCTTTGTACTTTACATATCTAGCTGTCACGGAACCGTTCTCAACCTGTCATTGTTCTCTTTGCTTTTTGCAAACGGGGCAGCTCTGCCAGGCCTGAAGGTCCTTCTCGTTCAATCATACCCACATCACAAGAGTTTAGAATTGTCCTTCCTACTTGAGCGACATATTGGCCGGATAAACATGAGACAACATGTTTCCTTTCCCCGTAAAAAATGTCTACAATGGCCCACTGTACATGACATGAGGTATGGAGTATCAAAATTTCGGTCTATGAAGTAAAATGATGACGTAATTCCTATTGAGGATATCTCACTGACACGTATATCCTAGTTCGGCATTTCAAGTCCATTATATCTTATTCAGGCTGCTTGTGTGTCAAAAGCAGCGTCTTGTCCTTCTCATGATCGGTTCATGAGTGCTCAAATTGGTGCTGACCTAATCAGCAATTAGCAACTGCATTGATGACCTTTCGCTGCCCAGCTTACTGCGTACTGAAAGATACTTCCAGGTCTTTGTGATAAGCTGATTGGTTGGAGCGATCTCAGACCCACATTAGGCATCAACAAACAAGCTTCAGGTCTCAGTTTAATGATAACCTACCTTTCTGGCTGTGATTTTTTCAGGATCATCATCTCATATTATTCTCACTCCATGTTACTCATTAGTCTTCTCATCTCGAATATCTTCGCATTCACCATGGAGGCTATCGTGGACTCTATTCCCGAGCAGTTATTCCTCGATCTACGAGTCTCTGCGGTCCGCAACAGAACCGCGCGTATCAACTTGGTGGAACCATGGGCTTCCGAGTATTGCACTGCTGTCTTAGAGAAACGATATGGTGATGCGATATTTGCTCGATACAATTTAGCTGGACAGGCAGTGAATGGTGTCTATACCGAATGGAACATTACTGTCTACGATATGATCATGTCGGATGCCCAGGAGTACGCACAAGACCATCCGGAGCTTTACGCCGATGCCTTACAGCTTTACAACAACACAAATTCGACCGATACACGACGCGATATTATTAAAGGACTCGAAAGAATTACGTTTGATTAACCATTATCTTCGCCAGCCTGAAGAGCGGTTCTAAGCTTCTGATCTCATTCATTTTACAGCAAGCTTACAACCATCTGCCTCATAGCATGAGAACTTCAGTGTCACTAAACCTATTATCAACGTGATGCATCTAGTGAGAGCTCCATAATCCACTTGCCGTCTACGCGCAATTTGAAGGTTTCATTCTACAGGTATTATCAGCCCGCCTCACAGATGCAGTAACGATAACACATGTGCTGGGGCATTAGAACGGCCGGTTTCAGGTACCAAACACATGAGCAGGTACAATCGATATAAAGCTCAGGAACATTTTTGTTGTCTTTACCTTCTTGTAATCTTCGATGACATTGGAGCATTTAGAACTCAGAACCCTATGCAAGTGTGCAACTCTTGTGTATAAGGTGTGGTGGTGTATAAGGTTCCATGGGGGGCGATTTCCCAGTGATATCTGGACAGTTTCAAAATGCGACTAACCTGCCGTTAAACTCTTGTTTGAGTGTTCGCTCCTGAGATTCAACAGTTTTCTTAATCACCTAGTTACGCTATTTCAACTTGTCATGGCAACACGCGAAATTTTAGTAAGATGATAGCTTGGTCTATCTCCTGATCTAACTCAAGTCTCACTTTGAGCTCGTAAAGTACAACCAAAAGCGCTTTGTAATGAAACCATTTTTTGGGAGCCTCATAGACCTGTCCAGTCTGACATATGAGGAGTTTGGACTCAGCGAAGAAGCCTTGAATCAACTCAAATAAATTGAATAGTATGTAATGTTAAAGAAATCCTCTGCTTTGTGCGCATTCCCTCAGTTTACACTAAATAATAAGAGGCAATATCCATGATAAACGCTTATTGACTCGGACCACTTCCTGCAATACCGAGAACACTTTCTATTAAATCCAAGCAGTAATACATCGGCCCTACCTCATGTTACGGAAGCAAGAGTTATGTATCATACGAGCAAGCGGAGAAGATCTGGTAGGCATTGATACTGGTGTCTCAAACATATGAACGAACTAATATCCTAACACACATTCTTAAACGCTGTTCTCTATTGTTCTCAGATACATCATTGTAATTCGGGCAAGACGAACAGCAGGTGGGGATCTTAAATAAAAATTCGGCTAGAAACTCAGAAGTTTGTTTATTTCTCTACTGCAGAATAATCCCTTCGACCATGCTTGCTTATTAAGATCATTACTTATAATAAACAAACTACAGTATATTATAATATACGCATATCGAACTCGTTAAGCAGAGCAAGTTCTATCCCGTATAGATACTAATCCGGTGTCTGGAGCAGTAAGTCAGAAAGAGCTCTAGAATTACCGGAGTGATTGTTTGTAGCTGCGCCATTTTCTTCGCATGGTTCTCGGAAGTAGGCATCTTAAGATTGGATTGTAGTCAGAAGATTCAGATTGCTGATTCACTGCAACTAGCAATCCACCATTTTGAACGCATTTAAATTCAGGCTCATCATTGTAGACAAGCTATGAGAGGGGAAGCTTTTGTACTTCGACTTCTATTATTACCAAATTGTAAATGCTTTCTCCTTCGGAACTAAACTTAGAAGAAACGTGCAACCCGAGAGGATAATCCTGAATTAAAACACGTTTCCAATACCCAGGCTTGTGTTCCTCAAACATAAGCGGCGCAATATTTTGCCAGCTCCGTGCCAGGATTGGCCTAGCATCTTCCAGCCTGGCTGCGCTACAGCAAGCCACCCTAGATAGAACAAAGCACTACATCTATTCGAAAGTCGATGGGTATGTTTCACTCATAAATGTACAAGAATCAAGCGAGTCTAGCTTGTGTGGACTACCTATGAAAAGAGTAACCTTTCACTATAAGCCACAAGGGCAAAACCGCCAGCAAGGATATGAAACCTCTAAGCTACCATCCATCTCCAAGACACTCAGTCACTCAGCTAGATGCAAGTCCTTTGCCAAGTCCGGCTGCATCAACTCCTGGTTGAACTCCTCCGACGCAGGCAACTCCAGATGCACATGCGTGTTAACCGCGGCCTTCAACTCGACATTCTCAGCCTCAAACTCCAAGACATGACCACCAGCCTGGCGGTCTGCAGACAGGAAATGCAGATGAAAGCCGGCGACGCAGATCCCGTTCGTGTACGGCGGGGAATAGAACCCGAACAGCGTGCCGGCGACATTTTCGTACGTCTTGACGACCTGGCGCTTAGACAGTTCGAGCAACGGCTCCCGTGGGCGGATCTGCGGGCCACCAATGCGGTACACGATCTTCTTGAACGTGGCGTCCACGCGGACGGCGATAAAGTTGTTCTGATTGGCGGGGAAGAATGGATGCAGGGCTTTCTCTAGGGTGTCCATGCGCAACGTGTCCAGGGGCCTGGTCAGCGTGGGCTGGAAGTCCGTGGCGACGATCATTGGAAGATGGTCTGTGGACGCCAGCCGGTGTAGTTGATTGTCTGGGGTGAAGTGATAGGCCTCGCCGTCTACAATGACGATCTCGCCATTCAGGCCGCAGACGGTGCCAAGGCCGTGGTTGCATCTGGAGAGGACATTGGAGACGGTCGCTCCGTCGGAGGAGAAGCCCTGCATCAGGGCGCTGAAGACGCCATATTGATAGATGTGATTCATTTTGTGACGAGATTGGGATTGTATGTAATGTGGTAATGAATGTGTCGGGTTCCGGTGACAGGATGATGATGCTCGCGCGGGGTTGTGTGCGCACTAACCCGTTTAAGGAACCCGATACCGGTTGCCCGGGGATCCCATTATACTCAAATGCGGCTCTTAAAGCCGAAGAGGCTGGTCCACTCCGTGCTCATAATTCCTTGGTGTAGTAGATTTATACTCCATATTTTTTGGCCAAGTCCTATCTGGCTAGGCTAGGAGACAGAATGCGCAGTTTCCACAGTAAGAATCATATCAGCTGCTGTGTCTGCCGCATCACTTACAATGCCAGCAAACCGTATGACCGCCGCACTGGCCACAAGCATTGCGGTCAACCCGCAATCGGTCTGCGATCTCTGTTCTATTGCAGGTCTGAGGGCCAGGGCTTCGAAGGTCATGTGCAGATCCCCCCGGCTGAAGGATCCGGATTATCCTGCTAGAGTCACCTTCCGTAACTGATTCTCAAATAAATCTTCTGGTCCTAAGAAGAAAAAAAAAGTCCCCATGTCTTGAAGATATACGGTAAGTTTAGTATCAAATGCAGGGCTCAAGAGTGTGGTGTAACATGGAACCTCCAACTAGCTGAATTAACAGGGCTAGTACACAAATAGTTCGTAGAGTATCTCAGTGTCGTTGAGACCACTTCCTAGTTCGAACGCATCATTCAGCATGAACCTATTGTAGAGGATACCGGACGAACTTAGGTCTCTTCTTGGAGATGATGCTTGTAAAGTGTTTATGTGCTATAGGATGGAAAGGAATGGAGGCGGCGGGTGGGGTAGAACTTACTGAGTACTTCCCAAGTTCCCATGCATCTTTAGCGCATGAAGACGGGCAGCAATGGTGCTCCCAGCCTCCCAGCCTCCCACAGAAAATCAGTCGTAGGGCTGGCTCACCTGGTCCACTGCAGCCCGGCTGTACGTCACATGGCACGTGCTCTGCAACACTTCAAGGTTCAAACGATTTGTCTCAAGCCTATTTTAGGATAGAGTTCGATGCAGAAGTGTTGTCGTCATTTAGTTCTAGATGTTCTATCAGTATTGCTCTTGCTCCTGCGTACCCGCTAGGTGGCTAAAGATCCTTCAATGAATGAGCGGTGAGTCACCTCGTTTCATCTAATCATCGTAACCCGTGGTGCCTGAATATGAAAATTTTGCATCTGGTCGGAAAAAGTCGCGTTGAAGATATTGCACGCAGAGTTTGCATGTCCAGCTTCGTTGAGGTTGCCGCATCAGGGTCCAATGGTTTCGTGCCTTATGGCTAAAGTACGGGAAGTCCCGGACTGGCCCAGTACGTAGAAAGATGAGGGAAAAAGAAAACCGAGCCATCTCCGAATCTCCGAGATATTCCCGTGCGCCGAGTGAAAACCGAAGCGCTTACTTGCCATCTATGAAATATCTGACGATGCCCATGGGTTGGATATATAAGCGTAGCTCAGCCTTATCTTTCTTTCCTGTAAAATAAGCAGTTCAGTCTCTTTCTGTCAATTTGTGTCTTTGTCGTGCAAATTGCTTTGCTCAAAATGAGTGCCAGATCGTCTTTAGAGGTCAAACTCCTGGAGAAACCACGACATGTCTCCACAAGAACAAGGAGCAACATCAAGTCTCGCTTACGAGAACAATGGGAGCTATGGAAGGTCGGGCTAGCTGCGAAAGAGCACTGGGACGACGACTATAATTTTCCGCCGGGTCGATATTATGGCCAGAGCCACCCATAGATGTGAGTGAGTACTTGCCAGTTTGTTGGCCTAGGTCACTAACATGTATTGCTATCAGTCATACCTACCATTGAACCTCATGCAAACTACCACAACTCGGACCAACCAAGGCAAAGCGAACGATTCCACGAACACAAGTCCAGAAGAGCCACACAACCTTCTCGACACGGCACCAAGGGATCTTATGAACCGACGACATCTTCTTCCACATTTCAAAGCCATCAGTCATTTTTTCGGTCATTCCCTGTTTAACATCGCACCATAGACAAGCATCAGCACGGCGTTCGCTTGGACTTTATGTCGCCAAGACCGCGCAGGAATATGTCTCCACCGTATAGATTAGCGGGAAACAATTGCGCTACACGAATATGTAATGTTTGATTCACATACCTGAGAATCAGGACCTGTCTATGATTTTTAGTGTGATAGATCTCTATTATCTTCATCTTCTCCACTCAATGAAAGATTTACGCCGCTCCAGCTCCGGTAACGTTTGTTTTTGCGTTTTATCAGAAGCTTTGGTAAAGAGATTATCTTCTTGTCGCCCGGGTCGTCATGAATATGTAGCGATCTAGGTTCTGAGCCGAGTTCCCACATGAGCGACGAAATCTCCCTAGTCGAGACGACATAAACCGACACGCAGGCATGTAAAGAAGTCTTGGGCATCACGCTGTCCTGGCTCGCCATAGTTAAGCGACATTTTAAATCCAGGAAGTGAACATAAGAAGATCTATTCGAGCATAGAGTTGCTTGCAGGATTACTAATCGAGCACAACCCTCCCGATAACTTCCAAAACCGGTTAGACCCTCTTCTCCGTTGACCTTCCTTTTTCGGCATGGCCACATCCACGCCGGCGCCCTTATTTCTATAGTTACTCACGTAGTTGCGTTATAAAAGAGAGAACCCTCCTTGTCGAGAAGACGCAATAAATGTGAGTCCTTGCTTTGTGCAGTAAGAAAAATGTCTGGCTACTCCACAATGCCAGACAAACCGCCGGGTGAGGGGCCCGGGGGGATGTCTTCCTCTCCTGCCCAACTATCGCCTGATATGCACCGTCCACAGCCATCGTCACCGCCACTGGATGCAGCTACGATAGAGAGGTTAGGGAGAGAACGACCTCCCGCCTTCTCAAGCATCTGGTCTGAGTTGGCCTTTTGCTTTTCCATCATTATGTGTCAAGTCCTGGCAGTACGACCGTGCCCCGATGTCCGTCGCATAGCTTCTGAGATGTCTGACATGTAGTCAATATAGGAATACTACATTTCCGGCTCCAATGTCCTTCTTCCAACGCTCCTTGACGAGCTAGATATCTCCTCAGCACTGTCAATCTGGCCGTCCACCGCTCTCTCCCTCGCGGTGACTTCTACCCTCCTCATCTATGGCCGCCTCGCGGACATGTACGGCGGGTTCATTATGTACTTTGGGGGAATGGTGTGGCTGACCATCACCTCCCTCATTGCCGGACTCTCTCGAAACTGGATGATGTTGTTTGTGTTTCGTGGTCTGCAGGGCTGGGCTTAGCTTCCTTCCTTCCCTCCAGCATCATGATTCTCGGAAAGGTCTATCGCCCTGGGCCGCGCAAGAACCTTGTCTTCAGTGTTTATGGCGCCTGCGCAGCGCTGGGTTTCTTCGCTGGGATTTTCTTCTCGGGTCTGGCAGGCAGCTTCCTCACTTGGCGCTGGTACTTCTATATCGGCTCGATACTGTCTGCCATCACGGCTCTTTCGTCGTTCTTCTCCATCCCAAATGATTATTCCGCCACGAGAGCGTCATCAAAGGCTTCAATGGACTGGATCGGGGCCTTATTGCTTATTCCCGGGGTTGTACTATTTGTCTTTGCGATCGCGGATAGCGCGCACGCGCCGCAGCAGTGGCGAACACCGTACATCCTCGTCTGTCTCATCCTAGGCGCTGTCATCTTAGGTGCCTTCGTCTACGTGGAGGGCTGGGTGGCCGATAAGCCTTTGCTGCCCGGAGATTTGTTTTCCGTCAAGTACATGAAGCCGATCGTGATCTGTCTACTGCTCATGTACGGCAGCCTGGGAATTTTCCTTCTCTATGCTGCTCTCTAGTATGCCCTCACCCCACCCAGCCCCAACTTCCATCCCTTATCTCTTATTCACGCATCTGCTAACGCTCCGTACCAATAGCATGGAAGGTATAATGGGCGCAACCCCACTCCAAGTCGTCGCCTGGACGACCCCCATGGCCGTGGGCGGCCTGATAATCTCGATAGTCGGGGGCCACATCCTCCATAGTTTGAGCGGAACTCTTCTCATGATACTTTCAGGCCTGGGCTACTTAGGCTCAGGCCTTCTCTTTGCGGTGATCCCCAGGGGAGGCAACTACTGGGCTTTCGTGTTTCCGGCCATGATCTGCGGGACGATCGGCATTGACATCAGCTTCAATGTGACCAATATCTACATCACGACGAATATGCCCGGGGAGCGCCAGGGGCTGGCGGGGGCGTTGATCAACTGCACCCTGCACATGGGCATCGCCGTCATGTTAGCCTTCGCGGACCTCATCCAAGTCTACACGGAGCAGTACCTGGACACAAAAGAGAGCTACCAGGCTATCTTTTGGTTCCAGGTTGGGCTGTCAGGGTTAGCATTGATCTTGATCGCGCTGTTCGTCAGGATTGAGCGCGCCAAGAGTGACCTGACGGTTGATGAGAAGCGGAGGTTGCAGATGGAGCAGGAGGGTATTTTAGAGGATCCTTAATCTCGTTGACTGATCATGTATCGTCCCTGTATATAATGATTCGATAAAGCATTTCGACAACAAATCTCTGGCAGGGCGGTGAGGAACAAAGGATTTACTGGGATAGAGATAGAAAATGACAGAGACTAGACCACGCAAGAAATGCACAATAACGAACGGTAGTCTAATATCTCAATGCACGTAATTTAGTCTCATAAAGGGATGCGTTGCGGCAGCTTTGTCCTTCCATTCTAGCCCTAATTGGAAGGACTATGTACTATTTCCTCCGACGAATTCAGCCAAGCCCCAACTTCACAAAGTTCTCTTTGTAGGCAAAGAACGATAGGTGGCAGATCCCTTTGCAATATTCCTTCTCCAATGTAATTATCATTTGAAGAAATGCAATCGCCGTCGGATAGTCGCAGATCTACTCCGTTACAGTGTAGGGCGAAGGTTGAGAGCAGAAATGAGAGAAATGCGAGAGGAAAGCTTTCTTGCAAGCAGCGGTACGTAACCTTCTGACTGATTAGGTACAACATGTGTAGCTCGCGAGTACATCCGATGCCAGGGCTACTAGAGCTACGAGTCAAGTTACCCATCGCTCGTGTGATGGGTATCATGCTGCTTGTTGTCTTCGGCTAAGATTAACCTGATCCTCACTGTGCTTAAAATATGAGGGCAATCTTATTTGGCAGTTGAGTCACATAAACTCGATACAAATTATGCAGAATAGGATAGAGCTCCTTTCATGGAATCTTGTTCCGACCGTTGAATAAAGTAGAGACGGAGACGGAGCTCAAGTGGGAGCGAAGCGGGTCGAGTCTAGCAGATGTTCTGAAATTCCAGAGGGTCATGAGCAACAATGTGACCTGTGCCATGACTAATCTTGTCCCTGTCGCATCAGTGGCTGGATGCTTCGTCTCACATCGGGAAAAATGGAAATGACTGTAGTTAGTTAACTTAGGAAGTCTGCTTAGTCAATATCCAACTGCAGTTTGATAACATCTCATCAATACTCGTGAAATAAAGATTGCATTCTGCGTACAAGAGTAATTTGCAGTTTGATGACTAATATTCAACTTTCAAGGCTACTGTCACTACTGTCATTAGACCATTTCTGCTATAAGGAAGATCCAGGGCCGGGTGAGCAGATATACAAGAGCTTTTGATTATCCGCACGCATGGCTTTCCGGGAAACTGTTCGAGATCATCACTTACTGGAATATTATCAATGATGGCCCCGATCGGCATCGATAGTATAGACGCTCTGCTTGTAGATCGACCAATTGTCTCATTGACACATACAATGTAGATGTAAAGCATGGCATTTAAGTGGCCGAAATCCCTCAACATGCAGCAAAACACCCGCGTACTCTCTTTGTCATCGCTGAACCTCCTTTTTTCCGTCACCACTTTCAGGTACCCTACCGACATGAAGCTTCCTACTTCCGCTCTATTCATTGCCGCGCTTTTGGCCGCTGCTGTCGCGGTGTCCGCTCAAAATGACTCGCCAACATTGGAGCAGGGGAAACCTGCGGTAAGCAAGTCATCACAACCATCACACAACTGGCTAGGCTGACAAGGGTGCTTTAAGAAGGGGCAAGCAGTAGGTCCTTTCCCACGGCTTGCTGGATCACGGTCAATGAACTCGGCCATGCAGCGAGACATTGTTGTGGACAGTCGTCACACGAGAAGCAAACGCCATAACGGGGATTGCAATGGACTAGCAGATGACGCTCAAGAAGAGAGTATATGTTATATCGATGCAGAGCTCGACGAAGCGTTGCAAATCAGAATGTAGAGGCAGAAACACAGTGTTGGCAGAATGCGCTTCAGGATTGTTCGGACAACGTAGCTGATAACGCTAACGATGTCGACGCCTGCTACCAACGATATGCTTTTATCTGAGGTAGCTTGAGATAGGACGTATTAACATGTCAAGCCATTTACAGACCCAGGTTTTGGATTCTAGATGCTGCGGCTGAGCAAGCAGGTTGTGAGCACCCTGGCTGCCCTAGGGTGAGGTGCAAAGCCTCGAGGAAGAGAGAATGCCGCGATTGTGGATCAGTTGGGGTTTTTGGTAAGATATGTGCTTGGAGAACTATTGTTCTGCATGTGAATGAGTAAACTATCATGCATATCTAGAGGTTTCATCTCACCAGCAGATTAATCCAGTAGCCATTTGTATTCCAGCGTCTATCAGCATTATGAGTGTATCTTCGGGCTGGCAAATGTGAGTGGTGTGGATACTCAGCTTACTGCTACAAAATGAAGGAGAGCAGCCGCTGAAGCGAGAAAGCTGCTGGATGCTATTGAGAGTTTGCATCTGGATTGACTTCTCACGGCGCGAGAGCATTGTGGATCACAATTATCTGTCCTCTCGGTAGTCGGGTGCCATCCGAGAAATCTTACCCCGCATCCATGATTCGGATTGAGGATCCGACAACCCGAGATTGTGCAACCATGCGTCGATATAAGTAACTTGTTTTTCACCTCCCTTCTTCGGAACTTCTTGCACTTCCCAGTCATATACACAGCTCCAAATAATGTCCAGCCCAACAATGCAAGTTGCCCCCGAGCTCTACCCAATTCCCCCTACCAAACACTCTCCCAACTCCCCCTTTCCCGTTATCGTGTATCGCGGCGCCCTTCTTGATCGTACTCCAACCGGTGCCTCGGAAGCCATAGAGCTATCTGAATGGGCCCACGGTGGTCATTGGAAAATTGGTCGCGAGAAGGTCGCCACCACACCTCATTATCACGGCACGACCCACGAAGCCTACACCGTTCTCCAGGGAAGTGGGACCTATCTTCTCGGTCGATCACCGTTGGACCCCGAGACAGATGAGAAGGGGAACCCTGTGGGCGTGAAGTTTGTCGCGAAAGCAGGTGATGTCTTTGTCTTTCCAGTACATAGTTCCAATACACTCTATTGAAGAAAACTTATGTCTCACGATGAGGTGAACTACAGGCTGGAGTCACGCACTACGTGACTGAGACGGAGGACGAGTATGAAATTCTCGGGTTCTATTCCTTGGTGAGAGGCAGATTAGCTCCTATTCCCCTGCTGCAGACTGATCAGTGGCAGAACAAGCGAAACTCCAGGGAGAGCCCGTATGATATGGAGTATGCCTTAGACTCGGTTGAGAAGACCGATGAAAAGCGGCAGATGTGCAGGCAAGTGCCTGTTCCGGCCCACGATCCGATCTACGGTACGGAAGGGATTCCGAGGATCTGGCGAGAGGAGTGAGAGCATGCTGACCATATATTTCAATTATTCAATTTAACACAACAATTCGCACTGAGATCATGTCTCTCAGGAGCATTCGCTAGTGCATGTCTTCTCTTCCTAGTAAAAAGTTCATGTTCGTGAAGTGGGACCTAGGCATTAAACTTTCAGCACCCTGCGATCCCTAATTACAAGGAGAGCGGGTTCGACCAGTTGTAAGACAATATGGAATCAAACACGAGATTACAAAGTTAACAACAGAATGAGAAAGACCTTGATGCAGGCAGCTCAGAGCTGTGGAATGAGGGTCAAGCGGTAGAGGTTCGTATTCGAGCTGGATCTGAAACAATTGCGGGGGCCGAAGGATTAGTGATGCGCCCTATTTTACCCAACTACTAAGCATCATTTTCTCTTCTAGGCATTAGCGTCAGGGTCCAAAGTGAACTGTGCCGTGCTCTCAGGAGATGAAACATACATGACATTATTGCTGATTTTGTCTCACAATGTGGCTTTTCGAGCGGGTATATAAGACTGGGCACATCACAAGACGAACAAATTTCGTCTTCCTCAGAATCACAATAGTATACATCCGAGAACCACAAACATGTTATCCACATTGGTGATTCTTGGCCTCAGTGCCGTCACCAACGCGCACGTCGCCGCCTGGGCGAGAGGAATGTACTGTCTGAACGGCACCTCCGGCACCGACGACCCCAACACCAACACGGCCGTCAACCCCCTATATATGCTCGATCAGTCCGACTGGTGGTTCCAGCACGACCGTAGCTGCGACAGCTTTCCTCCCGCAGACGGCGATTTTCTCGAGCTTCCTGCCAACGGGCAATTCACCGTGGAGCTGGCGCACAACCGCGCGCAGACGACGCTCTCGTACAATGGCCAATACGCGGGCGAGTGGCCCGACGGCAATGACCACCCTGAAGACTGGTCGGGTCCCGGAAGCCCGCCTGACTGCATCCAGGATGACGGGGCGATGCACACGCAGAACCAATCCATGGCTGCAGGAACGGCGTTCGCGATCAGCTATCAGAGCGACTTGACCCAGGTGACGATGGAGAACCTTGTCGTCTTTAGTGTTTTGGAGCAGTAAGTGTTCAGTTGGACTTTGAGAAGGCAAGTGACTAATATGCTTGATGAAGCACCCCGTGGAAGAGACTGGCTACGTACGACGTGCCGGATCTCCCTGCCTGCCCGCCTGCTGGCTGCACCTGCGCTTGGCTTTGGGTAAGATCCACATACATACACACTTACCTTCGTCAGACAAGTCGATTGATGATTAGTTATAGGTTCCAAATGGTTGCGGACAACCTAACATGTGAGATACACAGACCCTATCTCGTGGGCCAAGGACTAATGTGTTAAGGTACATGCACGGTTTCAAATGCACCGTGACGGGAGCCAGCTCGATCAAGTCTCTTGCTGCGGCACAAGCTCCGGTCTACTGCGGCGATGACTCATCAAAATGTGTCAAGGGCGCCAAGCAGATGATCGCATGGAACCGTCAGTACTCGATCCGTTGCGTTGCTGCCTCATTGCTGACAAGGGTTATACAGAACAATCCGGTAACAATGTGGAAACCCCCAGTGGGGTCAGTCCGGCCTACAGTAGCGTCTTAGGGTGGGAGAATGGTATGATCATTCCTCGCGCCTACGACACATTTTACTGACCACGAACCACGCGCAGGTGCCCAAAATGATATCTTCAACTGAACAGTCGAGATTCCGGATGATGACTCCCACTTAGGTTTGATTTGAGGCCTCCGGTATTATGTTACCATCAACAATTGATTGTTATGGATTGTGGCGTTCTGGATTCTACTGTAGCATACACTTTCTATGCGAGGACATGTGTTCTCATGGACTCTGTTGTATTCCTTCGCAGAAATTGTATAAAGACAAAGATCTCCGTGTTGGCTGCCAACAGTCTGGTTAGAGCAGGGTGGTTGTATTGAGTAGGTTCCTGGGTCACAGAGCCCCTCGAGCCACGGAGAGAATATGAAACCAGATTTTGCGGTCGGGAACTCCTCGCGGATCGCCTTGGATGCACGACTCCGTGATACTAGTCAGACATGGTCTATGAAAGGCACCTCAAAAATGGCGTGGTGCTCGAAACTCACTGCTAAACACGCAAGGTCCTGTTCAAGTGGTAGCTTTCCATCTGCCTGAGTTCGCTGTTAGGGACTCCCCTGCTGTCGATGGGCTCTCTAACATGTGATTTCCAGAGCGGCAGAGCTACCTTGTAGCTTATCTAGCTCAAGGCGACAGGCCTGCAATTGGCATGTCTGCCAATACGATATGCTCAGTGTTCGCGGCATTGACGTAAGGTATCATGGCTTCTTTCAGCCAGAAGGATCGGTCGCAAATCAGATTGTTAGACAGTAGCAGGAAGCCCTAAGCTAATTGGCTTGAATACAGCAGCTCGTCTACAACTATGGTTTCGTAGCACCTAAATGATCGTTGATGCCTTACAGGCAGGCAAATGGATGACAGAACTCCTTGGCATCAGACAAGATCAAATGTGACGGAATCTCTCATCCTTGATTGGGCGATAAGCCTCGCGGGTCGTGGAAATAAGCTCCAATATCCGTGGCTACTCGATTGGTCGGGCAGAATCACTCGTCGACGTCACGGGGATGAGTCTTCCAGTACTCATCCAACTCTTTGTCGCTCAAACTGGGGACAGCATCGTAATGAGTGAGTGGGGCTAGAGGGATGCCCAACTCCTCGAATTTCGCAAGGCGTTTCTTGGTCAGCTCGTGGGTCTTGTTGACACTGTACACCTTGACGCGGTGCGCGGAAGACGTAACGTGCAACCCCCAGTTCCAGGTCTGACGGATTCCAATCGGTTCAGTGTTGAGGGCGTTGTCCCATGTCCTCACGACCAGCTCGATCCATCCTTCTACATCGCAGGGAATATCGATCTCCCATGTCCGCCACGTCCATTTGCCCTTCTTGCTTAGCCGCTCCTCCGGGACCGCGTACCAAGTAAAACCACCGTCTGCTGAGAGCTCGACGCGCTCTGGCCAGCGTCCACCGCCACTGTAGGCCCATCCCTTGCATGCGATCGACCCGTTGTGAAAGATAACTTGGTGCTGCCAGGGTGACATGATCGCCGAGCTGACAGGCATCTCCTGGATCTGGATCCCGTCAATGGGGCGCTGGTTGTACTTGCCAACCTGTTGATTGAAATAGAGGTATTCACGGCTTTGAACTGGAGCAATCGAAGCATTTTCAATTGCCTTGATTCTATAAAGCCATTTGACGGACCTAGCCCCGATATATCCGGCAACCATGACGCGCAAGGGGTACCCGTGGATTTTGGGGAGTGGCTCTCCATTCATCTCCCAGGCGAGCATGACCTCATTGGCCTTGACCTTAGACCACGGCACGCTGACCACGTAGTTCATCGCCTCCAAGTCCTTGACGTACGTCTCCGCGCCGTATAGTTCGAGATGCTTGGCGCCGTCGATCAACCCTCCGCAATCCTTGATGACCTTCTTCAGGCTGATACCGACATATCGAGCTGTTCCAATGGCTCCTTCAGCCCACGGTGCTTGGGGCACCTCATCGCCTTGACCAGGATATAGAGTTATCTGTTCGATTCGACGAGTTCCGGAGCATTGCATGGTGATAGTCTTCTCCATGCGCGGGAACCGAGCTTCGTCCATCAATTCGTCCAGGGTGTACGTCTTCGGGTTCTTGACTAGCCCGTCTAGCTTTAGCTCGAACTTATCCTTATCAATCAGCGGAATACCGCCGTGATTGCGCACAAAGTGCAAAGGATTCGGGGTAATTGGCTTCGACGTCACCAACCGCTTCGGCGGCTCTCCGTTGTACGGGAACTGCAATAAATGCAGCATGTCGGGATGCTTCTCTTTCAGGACCGTTTCCCACGAGTCATCGGCCACGCTTGTCAGCTCGCCGCCGATAGCAGCATGCCAGGCTTTGAAGTCGTCTCCCGACAGGACGGGGTTGGTGCCGGGGATCTGTCCAAATTGGTAGTCCGGACAATCCGGAAAGGTCTGAGACTTGAGGATCTCATGCGCCTTGGCCTTCTTCTCGGGGTGATCCTCCCATTCCACATATCTGGCAGTGAATCAGCTGCGTGATCGAGGTGGGTAAGGAAGGAGACATACCCAACCCAGCCCTCTCGTTCCCGAGCAAACACTTTATCGCGATTCCCAACCGCCTTAATCGCCTCCTTTTCTTGCTTGATCTTGGCCGGCGGACGAGGATATATGTGGATAGTCTCTTTGCCAGTCTGGTCGAGGATAGGCAGCTTGTGGCCTGCCATGCCCTGCTCAATCATCCACTCATCGGGGCGATTCTTGGTATCTGATTTCTGGCTAATTTCCATTTTGAAGGTGTGCTTGCGCAATTGAGAGCCAGTTCGACGTGCTCAGGTTGTCTAGTCGTAGGGCTGAGTGTGGGTTGAGGAGGTGTGTTGTCTCTTTATCTGCTCGCAACGAAGGAGGGGCAAGTCGATCGGTCGGATTCGGGAATTGGTGATTGTCCGATGACGTCTCCGAATCGCGTCCAGGTGGCTGTCACATCGGATAAGGCGGAGTCAACCACATTAACTTCTCGTATTTTTCCCCGACCGGACTTCCTGGGCTGGCTTGCAGGAGTTGAGAGAGGACAAAGCCAAATACCTAATGCATATTCCATTCGTTTGCACAGGACACCAGTCCCAACACGGCATCTTCAGAGCGCTCCATGCATTTTGCTACCATACGATGGCCTGCGAATGTCTCAAATGATAGCCTATTAGATCCTAGTTTCAAATGATAGGGCAACGCACCTCGTGTCGGACACCGCCACGTCATACGAGTGCGCCGTGGTTGTATCGCTCCACAATCCCACCAACCATTCCAGCTCGATTACTCTGCTAAGAGGTGAGGAACAGTGGCCGTCAACTTACAAGATCTGCCATAGAACGGACGTCGAAGGGAAGTGGGGGGAGATCATCCTGAGCTCCACTTGGCACAAAACTCATCCGGGAATTCCAAGCCTAGACCCTGTTTCGCATTCGCCCAGGAATGTCAACACCAAACCTGCAACATACTGAAGATATGAGCTCATAGAAACTTTGTCGCATTGTCTCTGCCGCTGATAATGTTTCAAATAGCTTCTTTGAGGCAGTGGCAATCTTTATCTCGGTGCCAGAACCCTTGTGGAGCTATTATGCGCTGATGCGACCGTAGAAGTTAGCCCTCTTGAGAGCCTGAGGCAGTGCACGTCGAAGGTCCATCTCGCACAGTGGTCGCTGCCACTTCAGTTGTTCTTATCGTTGTACAGCCTCTTTTACTCAGTTGTTCAGAAATCTTTGCCTCGTCCAGGTCCCTGATATGTGCACAATCTAGTCGAGGCTTTCGACTGGAGGAAGAAAATTGCCAGACGTGCAGCCTGAACACGAGGTACTCCGAGTATATGCCGGGCTCAGGGGAGTACCGGATGAATGCATGTGCACACTACCCTCTCGATTCCTTACTCCGTATTAATGGTTGCAGTTCTTATCGGGCACAATACTCCTTTCCATTAATGGTTAAGACTATATGGAAGCTGCGGAGCGCCGGCAGCGTACCGCAATGTATTCCACCCACAGGGGGCTTCAACCGAAGAACCCTCATTTCGTCATAGACTTTGCGTTTTCTCCACCACAGACTTTGGATACGGCGATAAGAAAACCACAAGTACCCGGATGGTGCATCTAGTGAAACAAATACATCCGAAAAAAGCAAGAAGAAATTTAGTATACCTTGGCGAGGTAGCGTGGTGAAACATCGGAAATCAGCTGCAGTTTCTGGCAGCAGACCCCGACTCCTAAACAGGTATGAAGACCGGCATTTTTGCATTGCTGACTCATAAAGGTTCTTTATGCAAAATCGTTACTTTTGTGCGAACGTGTAAATCGTTCATTAATCTATCCCGAATTAATTAATGTACTGTACATCTTTACCATCTTGAATTTAGGCAGTCACTCCACTCGGTGATCCCCAATTTACAGATAAAACTCTACTTGGACTTCAAATTGAACTTCAGAAGAATTTTTGATCGAATAGCAAGCTGTGAATAAAGTAATAGAAAGAAAAGGTGCCGGATCTAGCCCAGCGTCGAAGAAAAGTTGAAAGAAGATACACAGAGCATGGGCTTGGCGAGAGTTAGTCAGCGGCGGAAAGCGAAGTGGGTCATGTGCCTTAAGAGAATACCGCCTTTGCTCCATGAGTTTTCGCAAAGCGTCAGCTGTTTAGACGTGACCAACACCGGCATTGGCCATGGTCCAGGCGGCAATGTTGGTAGGTGCCTTGGCAGGGGCGATGTTCTTGCCCTGGAACTTGCTAAGGATGCTGGTGTCGGAGCCGCTCATGGAGCCGGAGGATCCGAAAGCGTTAAGCTGGCAAGAACGGCCAAGGTAGGACTGGCAGAGCTTGTTGGTGTTGGCGTCGGGGGAGCTGAACAGGGCGCCCTGGTAGGGGGACTCAACCACGGTGTCGACGTTCTGGAAAACGTTACCCTCAGCTAGGACATAGCCACCCTGGCCAATCTCGAAAGCGTGGCCCTCAATGTTGTGGAAGAGGTTGTTAACCTATCGAAGTTCTTAGTGGGGTTCCGGTTTCCGTAGCTTCGCGGATACTTACGGCGTGAAGAAGGGTATTGCTCTGAACCTTGGGCATACGACCGGACAAGTAGTAGAAGTAGTTGCCCATCATCGTGATCATGTCGTTAGAACCATCCAGATAGATTCCCCAGTAGTGGTGACCGTTACAAGTCGCGGAGTAGTCGGAACGACCATCGATCAGGTTGTAAGAGATGGTGACGCGGTTATCGGCCTGGGTACCGAGGACAATGTGCTGACGAGCGATGCGGGCAGTAGTAACATGATCAATCCAGACGAGATCAGCGTTGTTAAGGGTGATAGCATCACCACCCCAAACGTACTTAGGGTTGATATCAGTGATAGCGATGTTCCTGGTCCGGGTCAATGGGAAATCAATACAAATGCCCTGGTTGGTTGACTCACTGGATGATGATGTTCTTGGCACCGCTGACCATACGGATACCCTTTCCTTTGATACCTCCAGCAGAGCCCTTACCGACAAGACTCTTGTTCGAGTTGACGGTAATACCGAGGACACCGGCCTTGTCACTGCACCACCCAGTCAACACTCGACCCCCCAACGCATACAACGAGTCCAATAGACTTACTAAGTGATGGAAGAGACCTTGGGAGCGTTGGGCTCGTAGTTGTTGCACCAGTTGTCCTTGTTAATGGCCTGCTGACAGCTAGACCCTGTACCCCAAGGACTGCAGCCGCTGGTGGTCTCGGTACCCTCAGTTCCGGTGAAGTCAAAGCTGCATTCAGACCGTTGGTTAGTCTTGTTGCTTAACTACATTCTTGAGGAATGTGAATGACTTACATCTTGTCGAGGACAATGACACGGGGCTGGCTGTCGCCCAAGTACGAGACCAGCTCGTCATTGGTCTTGGGGTAGACCTCAGCGGCGCTACCACCACCGGTCACACCCTTAGCAAAACCCTGGGCGGCACCAACGACACCAGCGTTGACGCTATTCGCGAAGACAGCCGCGGCGGCGGCGAAAAGAGTTGTGTACTTCATGATAAGCAGATGAAAAGAGTGCAAAAGAAAAAGAATGAATGAATGAGGAGAAACAAGAAAAAAGAGAGTGGTTTGATGGTTGGGATAAGCAAGACGAGTTCCTATCTTATATAGAAAACCCTGGGTATTTTGGTGGAGTTGGGAGAAACCCCCTGTCTGCAGCTGAGACAGGCTTACCCAATTCACAAAGGGACTGGAGCCAGGCACCGAACGTTGGACCCGTTCGCCCATTGCAGCAGAGTAGAACCGGAGGTCCATCTGCAATGGGACATGCTCCACCCTGAGCAGATTCGGGGTTCTTGGCAGCACCCACACAGGCCAATTGTTTGGTCAGGAACAGGATACTATGCCCGTTCCACCGGAGTTCAATCCTTTCTAGAAAAAATCCCTTGGCAGGTACGGTTCTATAGCATCGATAGCATGAACGAAGATGGATCCATTGAATGAGGCTTTTCCTTTGCCCCACTCGCAATTTCATGGCACCCCATGATAAGAGGTCAAGTTTAGGTGCTGAAGAGTGCCCACCAAAAGCTTGCAGCTGAAGATCGGAGGAACATGGAAAGCTTAGTCCTTGATGGATGGGCTGGATTGATGCAACCGAGCATGGTTGAAGAAATCAAGACTGAGGACTGTACGAGCCCACGAGGGAGCTCGGAGAGGGGTCGTTGCTGCCTGCAGACCCTGACCGAAACGCTCGGACCCAATCGCTTTCCGTCGCTGCCGAACACCGCAACGGTCACGTGCAGCGTCTAGACCTAATCACATCTCACGTGAATTTAAATGCAGCAGTCCTGCCAAGCCTCTCTTGTCTCACCTCAATATCTGCTAAGAGTCTTGGTAGGATCACTACCATATGATCGAATAGATTGATTTCCCACGAGGCTTAGAGATACCAAGACTCGAACTGTCAAGCGACTAAGACATTTCTGACTCCAAATACTCTACGCTGCGATTCTATTAGCGGATAAAAGCCGTTGAGTATGAAGTACCGATGCGGCTAAGTATAATTCGTCTTGTCGTAAGGATCCTCTGCTGATTCGAGTCCCCGCTGCTTGATGATAGATGGCGCTTCTCCGAGTCATGGTGGCTGAGTCCCGCGACAAGCTACTACGCCGTCGCTGAACATATGCTTCACCCTAGCACGATTTCCAAATAAGCCGTCCGCTATCTTCGAGCACCTTTCATTGGTAGAATAAGAGAAACGTCTAATAGCTTCAACAAATGTGACATGAGTGAATGCACTTCTCTACTCTATCTAAGTCTATAAATTGCACCTGACTGTGAGTGGCAAATTATGATTCCTGATCCGAGCCCCTGAAGTTTACCGCCATGTGGGACTCTACTACAGTATACTCATTCATCCTGCCGGGGCCGAAGCCTAGACATCAGTTGAGTAGAACGCTCGAAAGACGAGGCTTTTAGTGTTACCACAAATTCCTAAACATGGTTCCAAGCAAGCGAGAAGGCAGCGAGGCATGAGTTGTCTCATCAAACTGCAACAATTCTCAATGGAAACAATGTGGTAGACGCCTCGCTGCCTTACTCGCTTGCTTGCTTGACAAGGTGCTTAGAGGAAGTCGCAATGCCTCATTTGCCTATAATATGCCTGAATATGTGCTTTATTACCTCACTTACTGGGAGAGGTGCTGGGAAAGGTGCTTGGGCAGGTGCTTGGAGTGGTATTTATGCCCTCTATCAGATATCATCAGACTATAGTATGTAGCCAACTAGCGTAATAGTATGTACGACACAAGGTGGCGACCATTTTCTGCCTTCCTTGCGCCTTAAAATACCAAGTTTTGATGACCTCGGCTCACTCTCAGTAGGTATATCGATTCTGAGAACCTCGAAATCTCCGTCCGCCTCAATGCACCAGGGTAAGTGATAAGAGCCAATGCTACCTGAAATCAAGGCAAGCAATAATTCAAGTCATGGGGACAAGAAGAAGGGCGGAGGGTTGCAGGACCTTCGCTCCGCACAATGTATGTAGCTTATTAATGTCTAAGGCACCCATGAGCTGGTGCCTGACAGGCAGCCGCGGCGGCGCCTGTGAACAAGTCATCCTTTAGCGAGAGGCAACCTGCCGGTAGATAATCCTCCCGTTCGTTACTTTCGGAGAGAAGGTTTATCAAATAGGCAGGCATGTAGCTAGAAATGAATATGGAATGGATCGCTTCGTTCTTCTGTTCTATTGAGCTCAACCAGTCAGTTGCCGCCGCTGGTGGAAGATAATTATAAAACACTGTCAGGAGAACAAAGGAGAATGCGGCCATTCGCTTGATTCAGCCTTACAGGACAGGGTATGGTTATTCAGCCTGAGGGTCTTCTTCAGCCGTAGGAGAACAGTCCCGACTAAGTCTCCTCCTGATCAACAGTTTTTGGAATCATGAGAATACTTGGTTTTGATTCGATAGACTTCGGGTTGCAGATCCGGACCCCAACCGGTTGGGGTTCAAGCCACATTCGTCCCTGCACCCATCCACGTGCTCAACACATGGTCTTCAAGAGTTATTTCAGTTTGGATAGTTGGAATGTGTGCTCCTGTATTGAGCGGTATTGCGCCCAATTAGCCCGTCATATCGGGTGGGCATAGCTTTGTCTCTTTCCCTAAAATCTTTGGGGGCGGGCCTGCAGTGGCAGTGCCGGGTACAGTACTTAGGGCTTCAACATCTCGCCACTGTTCATCTTCATTTCACTGTGACCATCACTTGAGCCTACTCTCGTCACTTACAGTTCCACATCACTATCGACCGAATTTGATCTCAGTCAATATTACCTAACAAACAGTGCTTCCATCCCTGGTTAAGATCCTCCGTTACTTGCATTCAGGATCTCACGATCGCAAGGTCAAACAATACCTCGAAAAAGTCACACAAGGTCTAATCTTCAATTGATTACACATTGAGCACATTCAATTACTAACAGCGTGCTAGAGTCCATCAAGCAAGACCTCCAGAATGCACTACGACCCATAATAACAACAGAAACCCACAATCCATGGACGACATTCGACGCTTCATGTATGGAGGACTCGGACCGCCGACGCTGTAAGATATGCGCCCGCCACAATTTCTCGAGCCAGCTAACCTTGGAATTGAGACTGGACTAAGAACAGCTTGACGAGCCACATTGAACGAACGCACCCGGGCGCTTCATTATCCGAGAATGCCATTGATTCATTGTGGAAATGCTTCTATTTCTTCGCTCACCATCCGTTTCCATGCGAGTCGACCGACAAGACAGCCAACGAGAGCGTTGACGCAGATGCCTTTCACCGAGCAGTAGCCTTGCTCGCGCACCAAGGTCCTAAGCTGTTGGTAGCACAAGAGGCAGGATATTACTTTTGGCGACATGATGAGACGTTCTTGCACAGAGCTGATTGCGCAAGGGTGCTGAGAAGTATCGGTCATTTGGAGAGCACCCAGGTTTTGTCCGCTTTCGAGCCACCAAATCATTCCCAGTCTGCTTTGGACGATATTATGGATGTGCTGGCTACGACACAGCCATATTCTGTGAATCTAGCACCGTCACCGACTCACCTGGAAGCGGTTGCCAGGAGGCTTTTGGCTGAGGGTCTCACCATCACAACATACCGCCTCAGCCAGACAGAGCTCTCGACCTTTTTAGTCTTACTTCTCCGGCTGGGGGTTTCAAATGATAAATGGGGCCGGAATTATTACTTTGGGTCCTTCGCGGACGAGAACCCGGTGGATGAAGTGTTGGCCAACGCGATGGCTGCCAGACTCATCGGCAGTGATGAGGTAGATTTTGACAAGGCTTTGGAAATGAAGATGGATGCATTGGTAAGAAGCCTCTACACATCCGTCAACTAAGATGCTAACAGGAGTAGCCAAATCTTATGTCACGTTTCCATCAACTATGGACAACTCTTTTCCAGCCTCCAACGTCGGACTTCCACGGGGAACTCGAACAAAAAGATGAAAATATGTTATCGCGTTACTTGGCCGCCGCTTCGTTATTCGTTCCCATGCCTAAGGCATCGACACCTGTAGGTTTGCGAGACAGACACATCAACTATAGTTAAGTCGGTACGACTCGGGATAGAGATGTCTTATCTTTGCCTAGTCTCGTCCATCACCTCCAAAATGGCCCGGATTCCCATCTCGTCCTGGCCACGAATATTCACGATCCCCATGCTCCAGCAACCGTGATAGGAAGCTTCATCCCCAGTCTCTTATGTGCAGGGTCCGACAGCAGCAGTGGAACCCGAAACTGCAAGACTGGAGACACACACCTCCTCTTCCAGCTACAGCCGAACTTCCGACTGATCCGATGGGAAAGACCGCACACGTTTCTGAAGACCTTGATCAAGACCAGTTACGAACTTGCCTCTCTCCGGGCCGTGGATGCAGAGAGCGGGCAACAGGCGCGCATGAAACCTTACTCGAAAGAAAGCACTGTTAGGCTGCTTATCGATCCAGAAGGGAGTTCGGTGTCATTGCATGGCTCAAAAGATTTGAGCACTGCAGCGGTGGGGAGATATAGAGAGGTAATGAGAAGTGACACGGGAGATAAGGATTGGGAGGTAGTCGTGCAGAGTTGCACAATTCATATGTTCGCCGTGGTCTAAATATGTCTAAAGCTTTTAGGCATGTAGTTCTACCACTAGAGCCATTGGGGGTGAAACTGACGGGCTCCTTAGCCCGCAGGGTCTTCACCCACAGATGCCTAAGGCATTCGTGGCGGTATAAATGTACATAGCCCAGAGTGAAGGGCCTTCGGGCCTTCCTCTTCTCTTTTTATTCTTGTGAATGGGATTCTTGCCTGGAAGACTGTATGCCCTTCGAATCCTCACGAAAACATTTAATTTATCATACTAATGTAACTGCAAACGCTCGTTCAAGGTCTCCGCTATGCACCCTCAGCTCACATAAACCGATCCCAAAGTAGTGCTGCACCAGCCAATACGGCCATCGAGGTTTCAAAGGCCGCAACTGGTCTCCAATTGCCTCCATTCCGATACATGACCCACGCTGCCACCAGACGAGAAGGTATCGAAGAGACCATGATCAGAGTATCGCGCTGGTATGTCGAGATGAGATAGTATGTGCCAAGCGCAAGAGAGGTCAGGCTAGGAGAAGAATTAGCGACCAGCATGCTGTGTGGGGTGAAGGATACAAAGTCTACCCAATGCATTGAACAGCGCCTTCGGGAGTTCCGGTCAACGACGAGCCCTCGAAGTGGGCGACCGATGATGGAAAAAGAATCGAGTAAAATGCATTTCCTAGAAGGAACACGCCCTGGGCGGCGAATACAGTGCTCGAGACGCCGCCCATGCGGAGACCAAGGTTGTGGAAAGACATGATTGAGTTACTTTGTGGTTCGGTGGATTATGGTAAGCTGCGTCAGTGCGAGAGGCTTACTATTTTCATATCAGGGGGTTTTCGTGGGGCTTGCCGGTTAGCTCCGATCAGCCGCTGAGTCTAAGCGTCGCTGCGGCCCCTCGGATAAACTTTCATACGATTGTCCATACTACCTAATCTCTTGGCAAGGGGAGATGAGAGGAGAGAAGAAAAAGTCAGAGAAAGGAAAATGGAATAAGAAAACACGAGCATACGTGGAAAGATTCTCTTGAAGATTGCCTTGGAAATAATATATAGGGCAGAACGTTTTCTGGAGAGCAAAGTGCCTGTATGAGGGTGCATCTAGATATCCATAAGATCTCAGAACAGCAGACACCACTTACAGTGATGAAAGAAAAATATCAGAAGATTCATATCTTATTACTCGTACGCTGCTCACATGCATGTAGGATGTGCAACGGGGATTGGCATAGCAGGGATAACCGCTCTTGGCACTAAGGTAACAACTATGGGAAGAAGTGGAGTAACTCATACATACAGAAAGTCAAGCATACAGAACGAAAAGTAAAGTGTGAAATCCGAAGTGCGTGCGGGGAAGTCAATCCACCTTTCCCTCGGGTTACTCGATGCGGATGTGCACGTACTCGTGGACATCAACCTATGAATCAATTAGAATCTCCTCCGGGAGCTCTTCGAACAAAAACCCCTCATCGTCATCATCGTTAATCTGAAGCTCCGAACCGGCACTGGCGCTTGATTTCGGACCAACTAATCTCCTGTTTCCATATCGAGTATAACGAGATGACAATGCTGAACATGACGACCATCGGGAAAAAGGGCACGTAGAAGGAACATACTTCCAATCATTGCAGAGCACGCACAGGACCACCGGCAAGAGACAGAACGCCAGTAGGCGCCCACGCGTAGGGGGTGAGCAAGATGGATATGACGGCCACGACGACGACGGCCGGCAGGGCGAGCGGCAGGATGAAAACCATGAAGAGCTCGCAGCCAATGACAAAGAGCAGCCGCAGCCGGCTCCAGAAGGAGGCATCGAAGGGCAGGACGCTGAGATGCGCGAAGTGGCAGTGCCCAGCTACGGTGGCAGTCGAGGTCTCTCCCGTCTTAGCGTTGGCTACTTCTTGCCCTTGCTTGCATCGCTCCCTCCCCTTTCATGTCACGCCAAGCACCATTTTTCTGGGTGTAAAGTATATTCTACTAACGTTATCTACGTATCTAAGGTGACGAAATAAGCCTTGTCATTGAACACGGAGTCTTTTGCTCGGGTCTCCTATACCCTGGCTGAGAATCCACGGAGCTAGTATAGCTAGCTGAGCCAGAGCGAGATTACTGGGGCAAAGAAGAAATGACGTTATCGGACGATTATGGCTGGACCAGACCAGACTTATGCCCAAGTGCAAATCATTGTCATTCAGGTAAATCTTATTCAAATGCGTATCAGAAGCCGTGTCAGAAAAGCACAGGTCACGTTCTACGGAGGAGCTCGTTGGCTTGCCCTGTGTTGTTGTACTGTGTCACAACCCACTTGAATCCGCAAGAGGATGATTACCCTGAGCCCCCGTGATGTGATAACAACAACAGAAGAGCAAAGCAGTGTGATGGCAACGTGTGATCAAAGGTAGCTGAGCGTGAACAGGCTCGCCTCTTTTTTCAGATCGCCAGTATACACATCGGTACCCACAGTCTCTTGGATGTTATGTCGCATTCTGGCTCTTCGGATGACGACACTCTCTTCGATATCGGCGTCCTCGGTCACCTGACTGTTCGGTTCCTCTGGCGCTAGTACCCATAAGCCCTGACGGCCAGCGTATCCGATCTTGTTCTTGTCTCGATCATAGAGGTAGATGTAGAATTCATCTTCCGTTCCCACATAATGACCCGTCTGACCAAGATCCGCCGGGATAAATGTGAAATAACACGCATTCTCGGCGCTACTGCCTGCCCAAACCAGAGCCTGCTCTACCACGCGAACCATGGTAGGGTTGATGCCGAGCCATTGCTCCTTGCCCTCGATGGTAATCTTGATTTTGTACTGTTGGTCATATTTGAGCTGAGCGAGTTACATGGTCAGTCCGGTGAAACGTACGTGCTCAGCGGATGGAAACGCGGAAGGGTCAGGAAAGCTTAAAGTGTATTGTGTAGGAAGGGACGGTAGGCAGATAGAGTCCATACCTTCGGAGTCTCGCCTTGCTCCGTGATAATAAAGAAGTCTTGGCCTGGGGCCTGAGCTGTCCGTTGGAACTCCACGAACTGCACGGGCAGCTTGCCAAATTCCGCTTTGTTCAACTGTTTCTTGAGCCTTTCTGTCTGTGCGGTAAATAAGCCCATGCCGTACGAGAGTAACAGCCGCCTTGCTAGTTCGGCTGGGATAGAGTCAGTGATTGTGTCAACTAGATAAGATCTTGTAAGTATCTCCTCACCAAGAGTCTTCCCATTGTCTGCGCTGGACACAGACACCATTTCTCCCATGGATTCTAGACGAAACTTGATTGTCTGCTGTTCGGGCTTTTTCGCGGCCAGCAGCGCCGCAAACCGTGCCTTGGTATCTTCATATCCCGGCACCATGGAAATGACATCTTCAAGCGGCATGATCTTGGATTGGTGGATGGGTCTCCAGTTGTAAAACGAGCCGACAGTGTATGCCCAGTTGGGAGGGCTAGTTTGGCATTTGAGTTAGTATACTGACGCCCGGCAACCCAACAGAAGAAACTCTAGAACAGGCTGAAGATACGCACTTGTTGCACTGCAGGGTATCGCCACCTTGAGCCTCCCAATTGATCGTGCTGTATGCTGACACATCCCTCTTCTCGGAGCTAGAGTCGGACGAGTTGCTATGGCTTGCACTGGCCGACGCCTGGACCCAAGGCGAGGAGAAAGAAAGCGCCGCGGCTGCCCTCATCGACTTGGCCTGTTTTGCGGTGGCCGCGGCGTCGGTGGAATTACTCTGTTCCGAGTTGTGGAGGCGACCGCCCAGCTGAACCCTGGTAGTAAAAAAGCGGCCTGCGGGGTGTCAGCGCTCCTGTCCTGTCGCTTAGGTAGGTTGTAGGCAGGATTGGCCACCTACCGTATTTGCTCTTGAAGACATTGATGGCTGCAGCTGTGTTGACCCGCTCCAGATCGAACTTGCATTCTTCGCTCAGATCAAGGCCAGACGGCTCGAAGTCAATGACCACTCGGGGAAACTGTCATGGTACGTAGTCAGAGAAAGGTCCGTGGATGACTGAAAGCTGGAGAAGAAACATACATTGTAGGTGATTGTCATTACGCGACTCTCTTGAGTGCTACTGGAGGTCGACGATGATGATTTGCTCTCACTGTAGCTTGCAGACGCACTGGCACTGTAACCAAAGGCGCCGCCTTCGCTGCAAACCCCTCGTGTCTTAGCTGGAGTGAAGTGATGCCTAACGCCAGGGCAAGGGAATAGACCTTACATAGCCATTTTAGCGTCAGTTTCAGATAAGGACGCTTCAGCCATCGCTCGGGACACCGATTTCTTCGTTTCGAACTGTCTGATATACGAGTCGTCATCAATCCGGAAGCGAGGGATCCGGAGTGATTGCTTTTGTGTATCAGCTAAAGCAGAGAGAGGGCCGGTATCTCACGGAGGTTATCGCACCTTTGCCTCTCCAATCGAGTCCACCTCCGCCGTCGCACTGATCTGGTAGTTGAAGAAGTTGCGTGGTTTCAACACAAAACCTACCATCCGCGAGATAAGCTGAGCCGCTTCTGGAAAGCCTCGCACGGGTCATGCTAGAGGGTACTCACTGGGGTAGAGTGCGCGCTCGACGAACTTGCTGCCATCCACATCGACCACGCGGTAAGCATGGAGCAGACAGTTGTTGCGCATCACCACGCTCCAATGCTTCTCCGACATATCGGCTGGATGGACAATACTAAACGTCGTGGCAGGATTGTAGAAGATATTGTGACTGAAGGTAGTGGCTTCCTGGGGCTTGGTGGGCTGTCGAGCGACCGGGAAATCGGCGGCACTCTTCTGTGGGATCGGTCAATGGATGTCGCATATTAGCGGGCATGAAGACTTTTTCTTACATCCACCGCCACCTTCTCCCCTTGGTTGCGAAGGCCATGGGCATAACCGGTCTCGATGATTTTCTTGGAATTGAGGTACACCCGGTAGGTGTCGGCATTGTCTTCAATCCGGTCCTAGTGGGATTGTGAATTTGGCTACTTCGACGGTCGGTCAGGTAGAAAAACTCACCCCAAGCTCGCTCGACTGCATAGCAGGTATGTTAACAACATTTGTTATCCATCGACCTCCGTGCACAGAACATACCTTCTCATTGAGAATCTGGAGATACGCCTTGAAACTGGTGGTGTCCGCGACCTTTGCGCCGCGTTGATTGGTGAATGGACTCGAAAGCCTGCCTTGCGATTAGCACCGCCTCCGATATTGGGCAAAAGAGAGTTGATTCATACAGCCTTGGTTCCAAGGCCTTTTCGCTGATTAGTAGCTGACGAATGTCCGAAAGCTTCAGACCTGCGTCGTCTGGGTTGGCAAACGGAATGCAGGCTTTCTCCTTCAAGAGTCTGGTATCTCCATCATATGAGTAGACATGGAGGATCTCGGGTGTGCCTTTTTCCAGGACTGAAAGTGGTCAGGCTATAGTTGGAACGGGGTGCCAGAATTTCTTGGGCCGGGCAACGTACTTTCGGTGGCCTGTTTCTCTTCGGCAGCTGCAACAGAGGAGGCGTCCTTGGCTGTGTTGCTTCCTGTGTCCGTGGTCTTGTCCTGGTCCAGGCCTGACAAGAAGGAACATTAGTTTCCCAAGCGGGGTGACCTCTCATGCTCGAAAAGGTTCAACATACTATCAGAAACTCTCTTCAGGTTGTCATCGACAGCAGACGTGGTCTTCTCGGCTGTGTCTACGACGCCTTTCGCTATACTGACGGTGGTATTTTGAAGCACTGAGGCCATTTCGGGGAGCTGGGCTATACTGGCTGGTATTTGAGGTAATCGTCAGTGGTGAGATAGAGTTGGGACTCTAGATAGACAGGTGAGCTGGGTATAGAGGGGTGAGAGGGGTGAGCGTATTTATGGCGGATCTTGTGACTGCAGCGGAACACTGTCCCAGGAAGCTACATGATCCTGGTAAGGACAACTATCTCTTCCGTAATACGGGGACTCTGTCGGCCTCTGCCTGTCTTTCTCTCTGCGGTGAAGATCGGCCTGAAAGAGAGCCACTGGAGAGAGGTGGTAGGTCCAGTTGACCCGCAGTGACCTGACTAGCCATTTTGTTGGCATGGACTGATTAGGGCGATAGGAATAATCTTGTCTGCGTCTAGATTGCTCGCAGAGGCTTCATGCACAATGATATCAAAGTGCGTCCTGCGAAAGCTGGTTATTGTAGGTGATAAACCTGCCTCGTTGTGACCACTCTTCCGTAGCGTAAGACAGATCGCTGTTATGTAACACAATGGCGAAAAACCTGCAGAATCGAGAACCGCCTGTGCGGGGTAGCAAATCTATTCAGATTGAAAAGAGAGGTCGGGAGGCAGGAAGATAGATGTACCCATACGACATCTGCATGCATGCAGGATGTGTTGGTCGCTGCACGCGCTGTTGGGGCTTTCTAAGATGATGGTTCGAGCACTGGGGATTTTGATTGGGGTCGGCCCGCAGGAGACCCGCTTCAGCTCGACGCGATCAATGTCGCTCCGAGCCCTAGCTCCGTGCATTTAATCAGTCGTGAGCTGGTCTGCAGAGTGGCTACTGGCAAATGATGAATGACGTTCTGCTGCCACATCGCAATCTTCGAAATTCGCTGTGCATCAGCTGCCTTTCAAGGACGGGTTCGTCTGACGATCAGCAGACGTCGTACAAATGTTCAAGTTTTGCTCTCTTTTTGAAAAGATTACGATAATCATGATCATTGCCGATGTGAGTCCGACCCGTGTGTGCCATGGTAACTGGGACTTAAACTGGATGCACACCTGACGAATCACGAGCGCCTCTAAGACTTGATCTCAACAGTCCCTTCAAAAGTGAGCCTAATGCGTAGAGTAATCTGCCTCTTCCAGTTCCCTAAAAGAAGACGAGTGCTCGTTCTCAATGCACGGTTTGCAGCTATACTCCTGCACGGCGCGACGAACCGGATAAAGTCGTGACTGACATGCTGGCTGCACAGATGTATTTTTGAGTTGTGTGAGTGTAGCTCTACTATACCTTTCAGGTAGCTGAGCAATTATGCGGCTGAGCTCATCATTGCCGACCAATGCCCCCGCCGAGGTTTGCAAAAAGGAGTAACTATGTGTATGAAGGCTAGACACATGACGTCGGCGACTACACCTTTTGTCTGATCAAAAAAAGTATAGATCTGATAGGTACTGTATATCACAGTCCAGATGAAACAAGCTGCATGTGTCTGATAGTATCTTGTTTGCCCACTGTCCTGAGGCTCGTGACTTTTATCATGTAATGATGTTTTTTACCTGGGGGGTTCGTGTCATGAAGGGAATGGGTTCAAAGATCTTGCGGTACATTTTAAGAGACATGATATATGAATCATCGTTTGGAAACCGTGGTTTTGAGAAATTGAGATGTGGGAAATTGACACAAATAGCCTGCTGTCCAGGTCGACAAGCTAGCTACACTTTCATGGCTAGTATTCGCACTGACCTTGGCAAAGCATGCTAAGGCACACAGGAGAAATAGTTATGTTCCAGAAGACCCTGGTTTGCATCTAACGTCTAAAAACATTATGAAAACAAGTTTGATCGGATAAAAGGAAATGGTGGCAAAAACATACAACAGAAGGGATTCGCTGGTGGTCACCCACCCAACTACTAACCTCCCGGCGTGTGGCTTAAGTACGGCTGAGCGGACGGGAAGCCCTGTTTTCCACACCCTGTGGTCGTATGTGCTTGTTATATTCGGTAACTGTATATTCGCTTGTCCACAACTCCATCCTATTACTTGTAGAGTTAACTTATAACTGCGTGATCCCCCTTCGAATTTCCCGATTGCGGCAAAGGGCAACCGCGGACAAACCCTTACTCACCTTCAGCCCTAACTGGCCTCTTGAAACCCGAATCGTGCATTCTAATTATTCGGCCAAAGCCTGTGCTTCGGTTATGGTACTCGGGTATTGTTGGTTCGTATTCCTATCGTGGTCAGGTATATCTATACTATTTTTCTAACATATCGCGGGTTGAGAGTAGAAAAAGATATTTCGCGGTCGCCGCAGGAGCCACGACCGTTCCTCTTCTGACAACCTTGTGTCCGAATCCACAGCAAATCAGCAGAACATCGCAAGACCCAGAGCATCTGGGAGTGTTACTTTAGAAACCAACTAGAAAGATCCTCCCAGACCCGGCACGGACCCCCAATCTGTAGGTGGCCGCCGCACCTCCGGACGCGGGCTGCACATCGTACAGCCCCAAGCTGGACTGGCTCTCCTTGAGGGCGGGCCGGGTCCTGTCGCGGGAGACAAAGCTAGAACGACTCGCTTGGCCCTGAGCGCGATGCTGCTGCTGGTACCTCCGAGATCGTTACCTCTGCTGCTGCTGCGAGACGGAGAACGAGGAGGCCGACTGCCAGGGTCCGGCATCGGCGGCGTGGTCTCCTCCTGCCAACGCGCCCTTGATCGGGTCCATGACCGCTTTATCGACGGCGGTTGTGGCGCCTATCACACCATTTCCTCCCCGACACCTTTGGCTAGCCCTTGGGCAACCTTTGAGGCCGTCTTCTTGGTAGCGGCCTTGACAGCCACCTAAGTGGTACCAGCCGGTGATCGGGTCGCGCCATTGCCCGTTGAATCCCATGAGCTGAGGCTGCTATCTCAGACTTCTCTTGTCTTCGTTTAGCTCGCTTCCAGCCAGCTTTTTTTTCATGTGAGCTTCGTCGCCGTTGAAGCCCCAACCTCGACCCCAACCTCTATGCGAATGGCCGTATGCCGGCTCCTGTTCGTGTCATGATTCGGATCTACGATGGCGACGATAGAAACCAGCGAGGAGTAGCTGAAACAGCATGTATGCATGGTCGACTACTACGATAACTCCCAATTACTTCCAGACTGCGCGTTATGGGAGTGGTTCTTCGCCCCAATGACCTGGGTCACCTCATTTGTCGATGGAGGGTGGAAGCACGCAGACAAGCCCCTATCCTCCTCAGCCGAGAGCACAACAGCATATCCGGCCATCCTCGCCGAGTACATCACCTTGTATGTCAAGACGGGCGCGACCGGGTCCCGCAAATTGGCCGTCCGGGTGCAGACGCCCGACCAGAAATACCACTACAGCAACAGCGCCAGTTACGCCAAGGGGGTCATCATCCGCGCCATCACGCCGCGGCGATACAGTACCAACGATCTCCACATTGAGGAAGTCGAGATCGCTAAAGGGAACTTTTATCCCCCGTGTGACTGAGTCCAGACCAAAACCTATATCAGCAACAAATCCACCGAGTATCCCTCCCTTCGTCAATGTGCGGCCCTATAGCTACCATTCCGGGAGCGACAGCCTGCCCGGCTGGGGCTACTGCTGGATGGTCAAGGATGGCCACAAGTACAGCATCGCCACCCGCCATTGGTATACGTGGCCGACAGGCGAGACCACGCGCACCGTCTGGTCGGTCGTCAGCGACTTCGGGTCAAAGACATCTACGTCAACCAGCGACCCCATGCCGCTGTTTAACTCTGTTCGAGACGTATCCTCATGTTATACTGAGTAGGATCCTGGGTTGGGAAGACAACGACCGCTGGCTAGAAGTGTGGGATAAGTACGGCAACAAAGCCGCCTTCACGCTCAACACCAACGACACTAGGATGCACGTCATTGCGAAAGACCGTGCCATCACGGCCGAGGTTGAAACGAATGGGGTCCATAAGCCTGGGACGTCCGTTTGGGTCTAAGATCTCCCCGCCGACATCCAGAGCCGTCTTCCTCAGCTGCATTCCTACGAACTCATGGAACACTTGCCTGCTCACCATCACGTTGTCGAGGAGTTGCGGGAAAGAGCCAAGAGGAGGAAGAATACAGCCTGAGGATTGAGTTGTTGGCAGCATTGTGTGTTCATATGGAGTTGGAGTGTTTAGGTCGAGGTGCACAAATTCTGCATTGCATCTGGGGAGCCAGCGTTGCTTTCATTCTTCTTTGGGGCTAGTGACGGTGTTTGTCTCAGGTTAACATGGGGCACATGGTATGGAGTGTAGAGCAATCTTCTTCTACTGTACTATAGTTCAAGGCAGGGGCATTGAATGTTGACAGGGGCCCGACTGACGTCTCAACTTACAGGATTTATTTCTAGCATGAAATGAGTCAATGGAATTTAGTCCCCGCCGTAGTCTCCCGTTCACACGATAAAAGCAAAAAGAGCACGAGTGACCCCTGATGCCTAAATCTCGCCTTCATTAGGAATACCCGTCCACCAACCCCTAAGATCTCGATACCAAGACCAGCCCCCCAGCGATCCCCCCAAGGCCAGGCCAGCGATGAACGCCGTCTTGCTCATCTGAGTCTTGAAGCTGAAATCGTACTTCCAGTGCTTCGGATCTTCCTCCTTACTGTGGGTGTCTTTGGAGGTCGTCTCCCTGTTGCAACGAGCGGAATGTGTCGAAAATGCTGCTAACGCGCGAGACGTCATAGTAGCATGTGCACTGCGAGGACAGCTGTTGTTGTGAAGAGGGGGGGGGCGCAATGGAAGGCGACGCCGCAGTATTGTAGCCATGGCGATTAGTGCGCAGCCTAAGCTGTTGAGTTTAGTAAGTATTGTATAAATGGTATGAGGAAATGACCTGGAAATCGGTTGCTAACGTTGTTCACTCCGCAATGTGCGATCAATGTGGACGAAGCAAGTAGCCGGTGCGGCTGGTAGTATTTATATCTGGTGAGTCAGACTGGGAGTCCACGCAACATGCCGCTTTAAGGCTGAGCGGGAATAGCGGTGGGCGGGCCAAAGCGGACTAGCCCGCAATATCTCTAAAAATAGTTCGCCCCTCCCGGCTTCGGATGACCGGCTCGGCTGTTCCGATAAGGTTGTCGATCCGCCGTACGAGTTCGACATCTATGATGTTCTAACATGTTTGCGTCAGGTGGCATCTGTAGGTTTGTTGTTAAGTTCGGCGAGGAAGTCTTCGAGATAATTCTCAGCACTATCACGTCAATCGTCAAGAGAACTGTCTGGGTCTTCAAGAAGATTGTTGCATTTATCCAGGATATCATCGAGTTCATCGGCTACCTGATTGAATTGGGGGATATTCTTAATACCCCCGATAGTCTGGCTACTGGCTTCACCAAGCGCTGGATTATAGCGAAGAATAACTACAGACTATGAATCCGGACGCCACGAAATAGCTCAGGGAGTTTCGGGGTGGTATCACGATCCCTCCGCTACGGTGTCATGCAACTGGTCTACCTACTATTCCACCTACGGCGGAGGACCAACCAGCGCTAGAATAGTCGATGATGGGTCACGACACCGTGGAAAGACGAGCGGCACCGGGGGGGGGACATCGTGCAACTGTGGGATGACCTCCGAGGTAAACTAGAGAACATCACCAATAATGTCGTCAACCTAGTCGGGGATCTGGTAGAGTTCTTCAATCTGCAGGACTACAGCGTGCAACAGGCTATTAACAAAATCAGGGAAGACCCGGTTACTGGAATTATAGCCGCGCCAGAAAAGCTTGTCGATATCCTCTTCCAAGCTCTGAATGTGGGCATTGATCTCGTGCGAGACCTGGCCAATGTAAAGGTCGAAAACCCAGTCCTATTGTGGCTGTAGGATAGTATAATCGCGCGCGGGCGTCCTTTGACCTTGCTGAATCTCTGCGTCCTGCCAGTGGCCATTCCAACCACCGTACTTTATAAAACCGAAAACGACCACGCACCGCCAAAGCTCAAAGAGCGGCGGACCAAAGCAACATTTGGGAAGATCGCCAACGGAGAGGCGGGTACATCGCTCGTATATGATATTCTTGAACTCAGTGTCGCTGCTGCACCCAGCTTGGTCCTTGTGGGGGGCGAGTTCGATATGTTGTCTGTGCTAGTCGACGGGGGTTTTGGATGTCTGGTTCTGGAAATGATCCCCTTCGGACCCATTGATAGCCTTATGGATGTATTAGACCCGGCCTTACTTACCTTCAACACGATAGGCGGATCCACCACCTGGCCTATGGTGGCACCAGGGTCAAAGATAACCAAGCTCGGCTCGGATACGCGAAGCTTCATCACTTGTCCAACCACGCAACCATCCTACTCTATGTAGTTCCTAAAAGATACTGATCCTTATAGTATCCAGGGCTGTGGCCTAGGTGGCGCTGAATCCCTGACTGGTGTAGTTCTGAACAAGGTGGCGGAGGAAAAGGCCTCGGCCGCCCCGTAAAAAGAGCGTTTCAAGGCAACCATCAGCGCGGTGATGTCCATTCCCTCCCTGAGTCTCGGCCTCAGCGGTGATATGATGGATCAGAAAGCGGGTGGCAAGCAAGATTGGCCGATTATCAGCACGTATATCGGAACGGCTGCTGGGTTCGGCGCGAGCTGGGGAGGTGTTGTGGCTCGGCGGAATGATGAGTTCGCAAAGCTTTGATTTATGTCGGCTTGGCAGTGGGCTCGCTTCGTACGGTGTTCAAGCACTATTGCCTCGCGACCCACTTTGATTATGACGGTTGCTGGAACGAGAGTTGCACTGTGGTCTTCTGGTCTGCGGAACGACGGTATTCTTTCGATACCGATTTTTCGATGATTTTTCTCCTGTGGTATGAATATGTGAACGTATTGACTGAGATATACAATGAAGCAGGGAAATAGGCTCTACTAGACGCCTCCTACTACCGTCACGCAGCTGCGATTGGCATCGAAAGGCCCTCGCAACCCTATCACTACATCCTGGAAGTTATCGAATACTGAAATCAAATTTCAACGTTCCCTAATAGCCAAAAACATGCAGTAGGACTACCAAGACCACCATACACACAAGGGAAGAAAGCATAGTGCGTAGACCGATGCGCGGAATGTGAAAATCCTCCGCAGACTACTCATAGACAGCTCCTAGGGCTTTAAGGTGCGTACCGAGATCCTAGGGCCTCTCGAAAAATAACCCTAAGAGCCCTTAGTAAGAAGAGTAATCTCGCTGTCACATATCTCACCTAAGCAGGAGGAAGCGCCTCCTTGCCCTGTTTCCACTCGCGCTCGTACTTCCACTCAGTCACACCAGTAACATGCTTCCCACTCTGGAAGAAGACAAGAAGCTGGACCTCCCTGCGGCTGAAGGCGAGGGCCGCGACCTGACTGCCGGGCACGCACTGCTGGCGGAAGCCGCCGCGCTGCCACTTGTCATCGTCACACGCCATCTCCATTACCTGGTTATCCTCATGGACGAAGTAGACGCGGATGCGGTCGTTGTGGGAGACGGTAGCCGCCAGATCTGTGCGAGGCGGGGCCTTGGAGACGGAGAACTCTCCGTCCTTCCACTGGCGGCCGTCGTACAGCTTCTCGCGGAGGCTGAGGTCGTCCTTTTGGTGGTAGACACTATGATTGACTTAGCCTTTGACACGGTGGTAATAATGTGGAGCAGGTTACCGAATCCTCATGGCAGAGTCGTGCGAGTCGGAACTCTTGGGGCTCACACAGGCCAGGCCGCTGCCGGGTAGGGCGCGGCCAAGGTTGGTCATCTTCGACCAGCCGTGTTTCTCGTCTGTTGCGGATGGACTCGTTAGATAAATGTGTGCGCGCGAACCGGAGAGGGCCCACTCACCATCCTGACCCAACTCCTGAAAAGTGTTATCCTGCATCTGCACATAGACGCGGAGGTGGGTGGTGTCTTTTCTGCGGTGGCAGCACGCCGCCATCATCGAGTAAGGCGCCACCTTGATCTGGTGGCGGTCGAGAGATCCCTCGTGCCATCTTCCGTGGTTGTCACGGTAGACCTCCCTGACCACGCGGTCTTCTCCAATGAAGAACAGATTCACCTGGCGCTTTGATTAGTGCAAAATCGGATTGCTGCTAAGGGACCTGACACTCACAGTATCGGAGGTCCGACAAACAGCGGCAATGGGGGACCCCAGGATCGCCTGTGCGACCACATCGTGCTGGGAGCCACCGGACCACTGGCCGTCGTGGAAGCGAGTCTCGCGGATACGGCCGTTGGTGTCCTGGGTGTACACCTGGAAGTTATCCTCAGACCCGACAGCGGCAATGGCGCAGCCTGGTTGTTGTTAGCATATGTGAGCATCACAGATGCTAGGGTGGTGGTTTTGGAAGTGGGGGGGCACGCACGGAAGCGGATCTCCTGGGCACCGGCGTTCGACATGGCGAGGTGTCTTGACAAAGATCTGCTGGTCGGTTTGCTGGTTTGAATAGACAGTTGCGCAAAGCAGAGAATGCTTGGATGCTCTGTGCTGGGAGAGTGTAATGGTTTGGGCTTGTTAGACCTCTTATATCTGGCCATGTTACGCAGATGTTTCCTGGTAAACGCTCTGACCCTCACCCCACGGGGATGGATGGCGTGGTCATTGTGCCACAGTGACAAAGATGTGGAAGGTCCGGGATGGGAATATCAACGTTTTCGTTGCAGGTCGCACCTATTTGGCCCGCTTCGGAGGACACAACGCGCAATAACTGCGACATGGTATCGCACAGCCCTCATTTCATCGCCACACATAACCTCCTTTCATGCAACAAACGGTTTTACCGAGTCCAATAATTGCTGCACATTGACTTAGCAGTAATGATTCGTGTGTCCGAGTGCTCAATTGAGAGTCATTGTGCTCTTGAAGCATTGACGAGTGGGTGAGACGGTAGCTGCCCTCCTTTACATTTACATACTTGGCGTAGCAGTCGCCACTTGAACTTGCCTTAATGCCTTCTCTCGGTAGGATAGCTTGAAGATTCAGCAGCATGCGATCATCAGCTT